AATTGAAAGTGTTTCGTTTCACTCCACTGGGATGGGAGCCAGAGCTGGAGTTGGAGTTGGAGTTGGCTCCCCCACTTACCTTACCTGGCTGAAAATTCCAACAAATGTTGTGGCTCTTTGTGTAGTTTCTTTCCTCTTGTGTTGGTGTTGGTGGTGGTGGCACTTGATGATCTTTATTACAGTTTTTCGGGTTTTCATCTAGCTTTTTTGTTTGTTGTTTAATTGTTTTATAAACTTCAGCGGCCAGAAATCGAGCTGCGAACTGCCTGCTGGCACAGTGGTGCATGGAGATTAATCATTCCGTTTCACAGATCTCTCAGCGATCTCTCACAGTGATCTCCACTCTGCGTTCCAGTGTGCACCCCACCCCCTCTACACAAAGTTCAAATCAATTTCAAATGAATTACGAACGGGGAGGCCCAAAGTCAGGGCTGATACGAGTATCTGAGAGAGGCCTCCTCGATCCAGCGTGTCAGAGTTTCAATGTCAGTGGCGGCGGCGAGGCAAGGATGGGGGATGGGTTCAACATGGAGAGCATGGCCTAACCTTTTCTTCTCGTATCGCATCGCATCGAGTGCTGGCTGGCAATGGCGGAAGTTGGATCGCAGCGGATCGCAGTGGAGTGGAGTGGAGTGTGGAGTGTGGGGTTTGTTTGGATCATCAATCGAGCCATCAAGTGCGAGAATCGTAATCATTTCTGTTTGTCTATCAACATGTGCGCTGATTTATCTTGGAATCTCTACCAATCGGGGCTTGGGGGGGCTCTTGTGGATGTCTTGTGATGTGGGTAGGCCCGCAGAAACTGCCAATCAAAGACCTCAAAACGGGTTGACCCCCACGCAAGAGGATGTAGACGCAGATGCGGCCGAGTTCTTTGTCGAGTGCCTTCGAGTTGATCCACACGTTAAATTTTGGCAAGCGGATTAGCTGCTGCCTCTTCCCTACCCTCCACTTCCCATCCCATGTGCAATCTCCGAGACAATGGGACCATTCCATTTCCAAGCCCATTCATTGACCTGCAATTTGGCAAACGGCGATGACTCTGCGCCAGAGCAGAGCACGCACCCATCGAACGTTCTCCAATGGATTGTGATTGAGCCCCTTCAACGCTGGCGTTGTGCAACCCAAGGGGGTCCGGTTCGCGCAACAAAAGGCAAATTTTTTCGGTAGCTGCCACACAATCATTTTTGTTGCCTTGGCCGGCTGCAATGGCTGCAACGGCAGCAACCGCTCCAACTGCAGTGGGAACTATTTTTATGACCGTTTGGGCCGTAAATAAATCAGTGGACCGATGCTCCCAGCGCCCACAAAATGCAAGGTTTAAACGCTTTTGTTTGCGCTCAGTGGCTCAGACTGGGGCTGAGGCTGAGGCTCCTCCACTCTCTTCTGTCCGACTGTGGGACACATCAATCATCAGAGCAGAGCAGCCGGCTGCCGGCAGCCACTGATTGAGCGCCAGAATGCACATCTCTTGGCTATGTCTATGTCTACCCTCGAGATCTATTCTGTTTCAAGTTTAATTGCTTCGCATACGTTTTAATTACGCCGCGCACAGAATGCATCATTCCATGAATGAGTGGCACTTGCAACAACTAATTTGGCAATTTTGCAAAAAGCTCGAGTGGGGCACAGGCGCAGACACAGGCACAGGGGGCAGGCGCAGGCACAGGCACAGGCACAGGCGCGAGTGTAATTACTTTATGGAGTGCTCTGTGAATGCGTCTTTTATGACAGCCATCATCGTGTAGACGGAGTGCAGAGCGGAGCCTCAGATCGAGATCGAGTCCATTGCCTCAAAATGCCAAAGTTGAGCGGAGTTCCTCAGGCAGAGCTCGAAGAAGAGAAGCTCTCGAGATTTGCCAAGATCTCTGACCTTCGCCCGTTCGAGATGAGCGCCAGGCGATACAGTTTGATGGAATGTCATCGATAAATGCTTTCGGAAGTTGTCCATCAAATGTGTGGCAGAATTTCGTATGAATTTTTGGATCTATGGAGTAATATTTGTTGGGGGGATATCACCCAGAGATCATCCCTCAGCCTTTTACTTTCATAGGTATTGATCGATTTAATTGATTTGATTTTCATTGAGGAAGTTTGCAATCCTCGTGCACCCCACCCTATGCCCACTGCTCCCCCTCCTCCGCTGCTAGCCACCAGTTCAGTTGAAAATGTCAAGTCTGTTCGTCTTAGCCGTGAGTCAAGCAACTTTTACTCTGATTCTGGCAGAAGGCAACGCGACCTTCGCATCGGGCCAAGAATGCAGTCGATCGTCAAAGTGCGAAAATCCCCTCCCTCCCTCCCTCCCTCCCAGACATCATCACGATGAAGATTTTTGATCATTTTTTGAAGTGCGGCGCAATTTACATCCAAAAAGATGCCTTAATTGATTCGCTGGCCGTGGTTCCGCGGCTGCGCGGCTCCGACTGGGGGGCATTGCATCAGATCCGAAATAATTGTAGTTTAATTTAAATTATACGTTTACGTTCCACTCGTCAGCATTCTAGGTTACAAAACAAACACAGATACAGATACAGATACAGATCTTGTCTGGTGTGGTGTGGTCCACGATACAGATACAGATACTGATTGTTGTAAGTATTTCAAGGTCCTCCCCCGGCCCCTGTCGAAACACTGGAGAAACCATCAGGAAATTACCGATAGTCATTGTCTTTTTGGTTTTGTTGGTTTCTGGCTTTCGGCTTTTGGCTTTGGCGCATCATCACCTGGCTGGGTGCCATTAGCATTAGAGCCTCCATAGCTGTCTCCACCTGCGCTCCGTCCGTCCGTCCGTCCGTCCGTCCCCCCAAGCTGGCGCGGGGCTGGCACGTTCAATGTAAATTAGCCGATGCAGGAAATTAAATGATTTTTTAATGTGCTGGAAAAATTATTACAAACAGAAACAACCCCCAGAAGAGGGACGGGACGGAAAACCCAAAACAGATCTCAAGTTGTTCATGGAGTGCTATTGAATGTGAGTCTCAGCTGTGGCTCCGTGGAATGCGGCACAAACGAAGTTTTTATTTAATTGTTTTGTTTTCAAAATTCAAGAGTCAGGCCCAGCCAGACGAACGGAATTAACCATTATAAATGTTACCTTACAATGTTATAGTTTTTGTTTTTTTTTTGCAAACATAATTCCAAATGATATTTCGCCATTACAAATCTTTTCGTGGAGTTTATTCTCCAATTTAGTTTTATTATTCAGCCTGGTGGCAAGGTCGCGGCATTACTTGCAGAAACACTTGCCGGAATTCGCATGGAGGAAGCTGTTCCATGGGGGCATCTCCTTTTGGCATTACCCTACGGGGTACGGGGTACGCCACCCATTCATTATCAGCTCATTTATGGGGCGTGACAGCGGCGCCTGGCCTTTGGGGGCTTGCGACTGATCGTACGTACAAATTGTGAAAGTCAGCCCGTGCCAAATAATCGAATAATCAGCGGCAGGCAACCACAACAATAGCGCCCCTAACCGTTGTAGCCAGCAAAATGCTTGCCAAAAAGTCCAATAATCATTTGCCACGCACTCGATCTCGATCCGCCAGAGACAAAGGCAATTGGCCAAGGAAATACGAGTAAGTAGTTGCAGATCGTGATGGATGCTACGCCCACTCGTTGGGGGCAGCAACATACATACATATACATACATACATACTGAATTACGAGTACTTTTCGAGTATTTATCGAGCATTTCTTTGTGGTTATGCAATTGAGGAGATAAGTAGATATTACAAAATAAATTAGGCAACCCAATTTGAATATATGTATCAATCATACGAATCAATCAATTTGTAGCTAATGTCGTTCCACTGCTCCACTTCTTCCATGTAATCCCCTCTAAGCCTCTGGGGCATATGGAACCACTTTTACACTCGCATAATGCGCTTATCAGCAAATCTCTGGGAAACTGCAGTTGCCCCCGATCATCCGCCTGGAATCCATGTCGACACATCTGTGAGATCTACCGCATAATCCGGCTCATTAAATTGGACAGAAACCAAAAAAAAATACCAAAAACCGAAACAGAAACAAAACCCCACCGAGACTCCCACGCACTAAAGGGAAACAATTTGTTGGGGTTTGTATTACTATTACCCAAAACATGGAGAACATTTCGGATTACGATTACGGCTTCCAGCCGAGCCGAGCCGAGCCGCCTTTCCAGCGTGAAGAGTCAGAGTCTTTTGTCTTTGGCAAAGTTTCGCTGCTACCGTCTCGGCCGAGACTGAAGATGCGTGGAGCGAGTGGAGTAGCAGAGGAGTCGAGTCGAGTCGAGTGGCCTGGCAGAGCTCCGCTCACTTTGCTGTTAGCATCGCGGTCGGCGTCGCTGCCAGCTGTATGACTAATTCCATCACAAATAACTGTTGTTGCTATTACATGAGCGACAACAACAGCAGCAGAAGCAGCACCAGCAGCAGCAGCAGCAGCAAATGCTTGTAGTAGAAGGAGCGCGCATTACATTACTCTTCTCCCGCCCGCCACCCGTCTCATTTGCCGAGAACCTGTGGAGAGCTCATCTTCGCTGCGCTGCAGCCGAAGCCAAGCTCACTGCCCGCCTTCGTGTTCGTTAAAATGTTTGTCGTTTAATTTCAAAGTAGTTTACTATAACAAACCCTCTCACCTACCACCACCCACCCACTGGCTGGATCTTCCTCTCTCTCGCAGTTTCTTTCGGCTTGCTGAGCCAAAGCTTATTAACAGAAGGTGAGCCATTCTCCCGTCTCTCTGTGGGGAAAGAGTACTCGCCTTCACTGCCTCTCACCTTCATTCCAATACTCGTTTCCTATGCGCTTATCTTTTTCCAGAGAGCAAAATGCTCTTCGGCTGCTGCTGCTTCTGCTCTGTTGCTGTACTTCTGCCTCTGCTTCCTCTAGTGTTTTTGTGTTATGCTTTGCATTTATTTTGTAATGAGCTTTTTGTTGTTTTTATGTGGCCTGCCCGAAAATTGAAATACACCGAAAAAAAAAACACATTTTGGCGCGCGATTTTTTGCAGTCGACGCTGACTGAGATACCGCGTCGTTAGAGAGATCTGCCGCAGCCTCTGCCACAGCCACAGCCGGAGTCGTCGCGGTGCAGCGCATTTCAAATATAAATACTGGCCTACGAAATTGTTTCAGTATCACAATCCGTTCAACCATCTTCGCCAGAAGAACCCCAGCAGCAGAGTTCCACAGAGGAAGAAAAACCGATTTCGTGTGTGCCAAAACCCCCAAACAAGTGACAACACAAAATGAAGGTATATAAAGGATATGATATACATATATCATACCCCCATCCTCGTATTTGGCGATGGGCTGGTCCTGTGTGCTATACTATAAGAACTGTCAAAGATCGGATCAAGTGTCAAGTGGTGTGCCGTGGTGTTGCGAAGAGTTGTCCTGGTCAGGGGATTACGGGCAGGACTAAAAGGATTACATTCTGTGTTAATGAGAATGATAAGTTTTTGGGGATGTGTCCAGAATATATCTAAGGATGAGGATATACATACATAGAGTACATAAAGAGTACATCTGAAGTAAATCCATAATGGAAAGCTCTCAGGATTCTCCTTTCGACAGCACACTTTTTCTAGAGTCAATCTTTCCTCCTGGCGGTGCTTAAAATTCCAAGTCGAGTCCATTATTTTGGAACAACTTTCAAAATGAATTAGACTCAATTTCCTCATATCTGAAAAAAATCGATCAAAAATGTGCCAAAAATGTACAAAATTTCTGCTAACCAAATTTGGTACATCCAAATTTTTCGTCAATCGATCGATCAATCAATTAAACAACTTATCAAGCTAATGAAGCGGCGTTTGTGCTGGCCATCAGCATCGCCATCCCGCACCTCTAACGTGGCCTAAACGTCAGCGGAATATGATAAACCGATAAATATGGCTGGCAGATCAAGAGTCAAGTTCAGCGGGGCGATTAATCAAGCGCCGCGGCTGAGGGTGCCCCCGCGAGAGATCCGCATAATAAATTTCATAAGCTGCCATCATCATCATCCAATTGTAGTAGGGAGCTACTGTTTTTTTACTGTTTGTTATCTCGGATGTTGCACAAGATCAGAGACGAAACCAGAACATTCAAATCCATGAGCAGGGTTCTCCTGTTACCTGGGAAGCAATTAAGGCAGCCGATCCCAGTACTTATGGCACCATCTGCCTGCTACTACATTTTGCAATGCATAAATTAGGCAAAACTTCGAGCGGCGGAAGAAGAACGAACCGACCAAAGTACGACGGTGTCTGAGTACAGAGATGACCAGGCAGCGATAAAAGACGGCCAGAAGCGGTACTCGGCTGTGGCGTTGGCAGCGTTAAGGCCAATGAAGCATGAAAGTCATCGACGGCCCTCTTCTACTTAGACAATCTTTTGCAAAGCATTTGGCAAATGTGTGTGTGTGTGTGTGGCGCAATACCAGCAATACAGCCTCTGCAGCAGATGATGTTCTCCCACAGGTTGCACCACGAGGCAGGCAGGCAGAGAGCCCTTCACTTGATCAGCGACCCAATTACCACAAATTTGCATATATCCCATCTAAAAGCTATAAAAAGCAGACAAACAAAGCCCCCCAAATCGGTTACAGGCCATCGAGATCTAAACAAAACAATTGCACAGAGAGCAGCGGCTAATTATGGTTATGAGTTATATTATTATGGGAGTTTAACGGGTCTGATACTCGTATCAGATGAACAGAAAGAACAGACAGAGGATTTCAAATGTGGAATTTCGTTACGGGGGCGCACAATTTCGGGACTTTTAGGTTTCAACTTCCACCGAGTCCTTTTGTGGCTCAGCGCGATATGCCAGCTGATGGATCTTGAAGCCATAAAGTCTGGAAAGTGAAAGGATCAGTATATGAATGGGGAAAGGATTAATCGAGGCGTCCCTCACCTGGGCACAAACTTGGCCTTTGCTCGCTTGGGTCGCACCTCCGGATTCACCATGAAGAGCATCTGGGGGAAGCCAGTGCCGAAGAAGGCGCCGTCCAGGCTGGCGTGGCGCGCGGACTTCGGGAGGTAGACGTCGTTGCACTTGGGACAGTAGAGACGCACCATTTCGTCGCCGGGATTGTCGCTGAGGCCGATGGGCAGCACGTGCTGGCGCTGGCAGAAGACGCGCGGGCATGTGCCAAAGACGCCCTTCTGGAACTTCTCGAGCATCAGGTCGATGCCGCGATTGGTCAGTATGAAGCGGGCGTGAATCAGCCCGTAGAGCTTCTCAGCGCTGGCCTCCACATCGGGCTCGGCGGCATTATCGGAGCCGGAGCCGGAGCCAGCGTTCAGGTCGAGTATCACCTCGAGGGCGCAGCGATAGTTGTTCACGTCCGTGTCCAGGAAGTTGAGGTTGAACTTGTCGTGGATGTAGTCCTCGTCCACCATGGCGAAGAACTCGTTTCCGCGCTGCTTGCAGAACCAGTGGATCCAAGCGGTCTCATCCGAGTCAGTCATGGCTGCACGAATATTTTTTAAGTGATCCTCAAACTAGAATTTAATTTCGATTTTCAATAATAAGCAGGGTGGAGTGGAGTGGAGTGTTTTGGACAGGGCTACTTGGGATTACAAAATGCTAATGAAATACTTTTCGCCCCTTAGTGCTTTACATCGATTGCGCTGCTCGTGTGCCTGGCCGCCTTGACCCGTGCGGAACCGCCAGTGCCCCAGAACCAGTATCTGCCGCCCAACCAGTCGCCGCAGGCTCCGTCCAACAACTACCTGCCACCCACGCAGGGCTTCCAGAACCCCAGCAGCAACTACCTGCCGCCCCAGCGCACTGGCGGAAACGGAGGTGGCATCGCGGCGCCCAGCAACAGCTACGGCGCACCCATTGCCCAGCCCCAGAGCCAGTATGGAGCCCCGGCGCTGACCGGAGCGATCTTCAAGGGCCAGAACGGCAACGGAGCCGGCGGCTATGGCGGCGGCAACGGCAACGGTAATGGCAATGGCAATGGATACGGACAGCAGCGCGACGAGGAGCAGTACGGCCCGGCCAAGTACGAGTTCAAGTATGACGTGCAGGATTACGAGTCCGGCAACGACTTTGGCCACATGGAGTCCCGCGATGGCGACCTTGCCGTGGGCCGCTACTACGTCCTCCTGCCCGATGGTCGCAAGCAGATCGTTGAGTACGAGGCTGACCAGAACGGTTATCGCCCCACCATCCGCTACGAGCAGGTGGGCAACGGCAATGGCAACGGAAACGGAAATGGCAACAGCCGCAATGGCGGCGGCGCCGGCGGCTACGACAGCAATGCGCAGCAGGGCAAGTTCAACGGCTACTAGAGGGAGGCAGGAGAGGAGTAGAGATGCCTTCTAGTGTACCCGAGTTAAGTCGACCCCCTAGCTATACGATCTACTTCGCGGGATCGCTGCCACAATCCCTGGCCGAGTATTAACTCCGCGGCCAGGGGCAGCAATTCCTCCAAAAGTCTGACAGTAACTGTCGGACTCCATCTATGGCCCTCGCCGCTATATCTCTCTCTCTGTCTCTCTGTCTCTCTGTCTGGAGGAGCACCCGCCATTTTTGCCATAGCCTGGCGTGCTCCGTTGTTCTGCTATCCCTCGTCCTTCGTCTCTATGCCACGTGCTCCATTTTGTATTTTTTGCCGTTTGGTTTGTTTAAGCGCCTCCATTTTGTGTTAGTCCACGCACACACACCGTCACACACCCACACCACCCCACACTCGATCACAACTATGACCATTAACGCATTCACACACACACACCTACATACATACATGCATACATACATATAAATAAGAATTGTATTTAATTTGTAACTGAGGAAATCCCCCAAAAACGAGATGAGAAAATGGAAAACATGCAAAGGAAACACGAACAAATGAGATTTCTTGTGTATATTTAATAATTAAACGAATAAAGATGCATTTTTGTATAAAACAAAGTCAGAAAAAGAAAACTACAAACTGTGTTCTGTTCTGTTCTGTTGCTGGAAAACTTTATAGCTTCATGGCTGAATCTACTTGAGAATCCTCTCCAGCTGCCCCTGGCTGTTGTACCGATAGACCGGATCCTGCAGCTGGCCCACGGTGGAGTACCTCAGCTGCGCCGTAAAGTCCTCATCGCCATCGACCTTCTGCAGCGAGCGGAATGAAACCCTCTGGATTTTGTTATCCTTCGCAACGATGTAATAGCGACCCTCTCGTATGTTCGACTGCTGCTGGTCGGCCGAAGCAGAAGCAGAGGCAGAGGCAGACGACTCCTCCTCATCATCGGGATAGATGATTGTGAAGGCGGGATCTGCAGCAGGTGCACCATATTGTTTGGATGGGCGGCTGTTCCTGTTGGAATTGGGCAGGGGGGCCTCCTCCTCGGGCACATCCAGTTGGGAGGGAGTCAAATAGTTCGATTGGGGTGGGCTTATTTGTCCAGTATGTTCCACGCGTTCCCTGGTGATCTCCACACCTGTGCCAATGGCACGGATGGGTGGCAAATATTCGTTGGGTAGATTGAAGGGAACCCGTGGCTGCCATCCAGCCGGCGCATATGGAGCTCTACGACCAACAGGCAGCTCTCCTCGCACACTGGCCATCAAAGCGATCAATGGAATCATCTGAAAGGAAATAGGAAATTTTTTAATAATTCTGTGTTAATGCAGGCATCTCCCCTTACCTTTGCCAGCATTGTGATGGACGTTGCAATTGAAACTGCAATCAAATGTTTGGAACTTACGCATTTTTATATTGAAATATCCAAACCATTCGCATCGTTGATATGCCAGGCACGCGCCCTGCCCTGCTCGGCTGACACACATTGGACGGGGCGGCGGCATCTGCTCCATCTCAGGCCACATAGTCACGTATCCAACCGACAAGCTGAAAAACACAACAGAATCGCGTGAATATGACCTTTAGACAACGGATGAGCACATTTTTGGCAAAGGCGCAACAGTTTTCGATCAATATCGCTAAAGTAGATTCATTGGTAACATGGTCTACCTAATCATTACTATGCATAGAGTGAAAGTTGTGAGTGAGTAAGTTCATCAAGTTCAAAGTCATTATCTATCCAGATAGATTTTTTAATCTGTGTTTCAATCGCCTGCAATTAAAATTTCAAAATTTTAAATAATATACGTTACTTAAAAGTGTGACCAGGTGGTATCACATTCTACAACAACAGTAGAAAAATACATCGCATATTTCGGTGGTAAATATCAAGTTGAATATGTAGTTAATTTGTAGCAAATGTGTAGTTAGCGTGTAGTTATGTAAAACATAAATTCCCACCCCATGTAGGAAACATGAGGCATACGCTTGGAGTACGCCGGCCGTTTTTTGTAATAGGACACCAGGGGGCCGGGGCCCAACAGCCCGCGGGGCGGGGGCCAACTAGCTAGTAATTTTAAACGGAATATCAAAATCGAAGAATATCATGTTACAAAACATCATGGTATGGCAGCCCGTAGCAACTACGAATTGTACGAGTCTGGCAACGCCACAAAACAACATCACATTCGTTTTATGTTGTTTTTGTTTGAACCTTAATATGTTAATAATCGAATAAAAAGGACTTCTGAAAACTTGCCAATCTTGTAGAAAATTTATGTATCTATCGAATAAAACTATTTGTTTAGGGCTGAGAGTCCCAGTTAGCTAGTAATATTAAACCGAATATCAAATTCGAGGAATATCAACTTTGAATGTTTCGAAAAAACAATCGATACTATCGTAATAGTATCGGGCTCAAATAATTATTAAAAAACCATTGAAACCTTTTAGGAACTTGTCCATTGTAAAAATTAGATGCCACCTGTCGATTTGTTTACAAATTTGTCTTCGTATTTTATAGCAGCCAATCCAAACATATCAAAAGCGCAACGACTGTAGCGTGATACTATCATGATAGTCGCAAAACCGTCGATAGTAGAGGCTAGCAGTAAAATATCGATACTATTCATAGTGCCCTCGATGGTTTGACACCTCTATGGCCCTAGTATTTACAATGAAAAAAATTAAAACTAAACTAAACCACTAATTTCCTTAATTAAAACAGGATGATAAGTGCATTTAAATGTTAAAAGAAAGCTGCCACAATTCATTAAACAAATGAGGACTCATATGGCAGGCCGCACGCTGACTAAGCAGCAACATATCTGTACAGAAATTCCATAAACAAGACAAGACAGCGTGGAAGACATAAGTTATCCAGTCCAGGTAATGTACACATATTTACTGGAGAAGCATTAGCGGAACTTTAATTGGTTTTCCTGTTTACAGTGATGCGGTAACCCGTTTATTATGTTCCAGTGGCCCAGAGTATTGTCCAAACTATTGATACAACATGTGGCTCATCAGCAGCTTGCACATCGCGTTGCTTGTCCTGGCAGCGCTAGCGTCGCCAACTATCAGTCAACAAGTTCCTCTAATCTTAGCCAACAAAACTAGCAATGCCAACAAAGTGCCTACGGACCTGGGTGTCGAAGGAGCCGCTGGATTTATGCCCCTCCAGCAGACGCCAGTGAGCGTTTTCCTTGCCAACTATAACCAGCAAAACGTGATGCAGCTGCGACACAACATGGAGAGCAAGCTGCGCAGCATACGCAATGTGGAGATGCGAGTGGCCAAGATCCAAGTAAGTGTGCCAACCGATTCGCTCCATCAACGTTCGCCTGATCCCTTCGTATTCGTTTCTAGGAAATCTTTGACTCGATACATTTTACCAGCGCAAACGGAGCAGCTCCAGCTCGTCAGTCATTCACCAATGACAGCGCGCAGGCCAATCCCCAGCTGCAGAGGGACTTGAAGCTGTTTAGCAAGCGTCTCAGCAAGAAGCTGCTCAAAGCCACCCACTTGGTACTGGAGCTGCGCGATCTGTTTCGCTACAATCTGAGCAAAGTTCTGCAGTACAGCTACGAGGACGAGGATGAGGAGCTGGAGAGTGAGTTTGACATGGACTCGGAGACGGAAGACTTGCATGCCAAGAAGCCAGATGCCTCCGCCACCCAGAATCAGCTCTATTTGAACACCCAAATCGAGAATTGTCAGCCGGACTATGAGACTGATCTGGACACTGGCTCCTCCGCCACGTCCCAGTCTCTGCATTACAACAAGCAGCAGATACAAATCCTCAACTATCTCAAGTCGGATGATGCGCGCGGCGCCTTCCTGAATGAGAACAATGCCCGGTCGATGGCCGTCAATGGTTACATATCCGACCAGCTCTTCCAACTCAAGCGGAGACTCAGCCTGAGCGCTGCAGAAGCCTCGAATACCAGCGGCAACCACTTCAAGCACATATACTTCCTGTCCAATTCGGATGGAGCCCCAGCTAGCCTCCACTTCCGACAGCTCTACGTTTCGGCCATCAAGCAAAAGTTTGTGCTGCTCCTCATAGATGTGGGATCGGCCCTGAATGCCGAGTTGTTTGATCTAACCAAAAACTTTGGTAAATATTACACTTCGGTCTCCTTTCATTTGCAGAGATTACAATTCGAGTTTCTTGCAGTTCACGAGATGCTGCAGCTGCTAGAGGACACGGATAAAGTCTCGCTGGTGACGGTGGGCAGCGAGGCGAACTTTATGGCTCTGGACGCCTTCCCCGCGGAAGCCGTCCACGGAGTTTACAGTGCCACCCGTGCCCACAAGGAGGAGATACTTAGCTATGTGAACAGCCTGAGCCGGGCCCACGCTCTGACCAACCATACACTGGGATTCGAGTATGCCTTTCAGCTGCTCCGACGCCTCCAGAAATCGGGAATGCTCAACACTGCGGAGCAGCCAGTGGAGTTTGTCTACGTGACGCGTGGCCTCCTCACCAACCTATCGGATGCGATGGCCGTTCTACGAGTGGTTGCCGAGGGCCAGGGACACCTCAAAGCACCTGTGATCATCAATACCTGCGCCGTGGTCCTAGATGAAAAGCGCATCATGTACGAGAAGCAATTCCTCAGCGATGTGGCCACCCAGAACTACACAAAGTACGAGATCGATGTGACCAAATGGTGGCCCACCGGACGGCAGCCCTCACAGTTGGCTGGGCGCTTCTTTGTGCTCAGCAAAATGCATGCGGAGACGTTGCTGCCGCAAACCAGTTCCCGCATCTTTGGCCAGCTCTTCGTGGAACGCTATTTGACGGACACGCTGGAGGTGCATCCTCCCATTGTGGATACAGAGAGCGGAGGTGAGAGTTCTGTGCATTCTTTTCCAAAATCCCAAATCATTTTCGGCCCTCCCATTCACAGATGTTCTGGTGTCCATAACGCATGCAGTGCCTCCGTACGGTGTGGTAGGAGTCAACTTGTACCTGGCGGATCTGCTGGAGGATCTGCTCAACTACCCCAGTGCTGCTCCCAGTGCCAGGCAGGGCAGTGGCTATGCCTTCCTCCTCGATCGCGCCTCGGGCAATACGCTGGCCCACCCGGCCTTTCCCCGCCCGCTCATCCAGCGGGAGACCTCGTATCCCGTGAACATTGCCTACCTGGAGAACGCCACGGACTTCTCCGGCCACATACGGGAGCGCCTCCTGCACGAGGAGAGTGGCAATGCCACAACGGACGTTTATATCGGCAAGCAGCGGCTGCAGCGCACCTACCACTGGCAGTCCGTGCTGGGCATCTACGTGCTGTGCCTGGTGAGCAGCGGCAGCGATGCCATGCGGAATGATTCCGCGCAGCGATACAACCTGAAGGATACCGTCTCCAACTACGAGCCCGGCTACTACGGCGAGAGCATGGACTTGCTCTATCATCGGCTGGACCTCGTCCAGAGCGGGACTGCAGTGCCCAAGATCTGTCGCTACTTCAGACAAATGGCCACAATGGGTGAGTGCACAGCAGACAGAGTCCTCCCACAGCCCACATAGATTACATATTTAAATCTCTCGTGCAGATGCGCCCACGCTGTTCCTCAGCGCCGCTGCCTTTGAGTCCCCGTTCGGATTCCTGCACAACAATCGGGCGAGCACACAGCTCCGACATGTGGAGAATATTATGGCGTATCTAAAGGAGCCGAGCGACGTGCTGGCCAATCCCGGGCTGCGGCCCAGCATCCGGCATGAAGTGAGCGTGCTGTACCAGGCCCTGCAGCAGCTGCGTCGCCGGCATCAGGATGCGCGCGGATCGCTGCGAGATCACATCATTCGACGATACATGGCCAGTGTCAGTGGAGTGCTCCAGCTGTATCCGGGCTGCCTGCTCAGCAGCAGCTACGATCCCACTCGGAGGTCGTGGTTCCGCCAGGCCATGGCCCAGCCGGGGAAAATTGTGAGCACAGCGCCGTACCTGGATGCGGGAGGAGCCGGCTACATCGTCACCCTGGCGCACACCATCTTCGAGGGCAAGGCCCATGCCCTGCACTCGGCCCAGCAGGATAGACCGGTGGGCGTGGTCGCCCTGGATGTGCCTTATGCCTTCTACTACCGCCTGATCGTGGAGAGCACGCCGCTGTGCCAATTGCCGCACATGAAGTGCTTGATATTCGAGCACGAGGGCTATCTGCTGGCCCATCCCAGCATGCTGCAGCCGGCAACGCCAACGAGAAACCAGAGGCGCCCGCACGAGCATCTCACCCACAAGGAATCCTACCTGGCCAACGACATGCTCAACCACGGCCAGCTGGTGCGGAAGCTGGGTTGCACCAGCTACCAGAACCGCACGCTGCAGCGGTACTACGCCTTCAACACCTCGCTGGCCAGCATCCTGGGCAACGTGGTGCACGGGGAGCGGACCAAGTACGCCATCGCCCTGATACGTGGTAGCAATCTCTTTGCCGCCGTGCTGAACTCCAGCTGCGACGGAGGAGCCTTCTGTCCGTGCAGCACCATCGACCGGGAGTGCCTGAACTGCAAGCGCATGGATCAGACGGACTGCGAATGCCCCTGCGAGTGCCCCATGGTGGGCGACGGCAACACATCCTCGTCCTTCGAATACTACGCCAACTACACGCAGCACTTCCCGTACTGTGCGCCGCCCAGCGAGCACTTCATAGCCCTGCCACCGACCAGCCAGTTGCTGAGCGCCCTGCCCAGCTGTGCGGTGTCTGGATCTGCAGTGGCGGGTGGCTGCGAATTGTACTCCAGCCAAAGGGAGTGCCTGGCCGTGATGGGCTGCGAGTGGTGCCAGCAGGATGTGGAGGGCAATAGCTTCAGTGCCGCCTTCTGTGCCTCCCAGGCCAGCTGTTTCAACGGTGTGCTGGCCTCATTGACGCCCTACGGCGAGCTGGACGAACTGGAGTTGTTGGCTGCCCATAATCCCCAGAGAGAGCAGCATGCCTACTCCGCCTTCGGGCCCCTCGGAGGTGCCGTGGTGGTCCTCGGCATTGTGATCGCGTTTGCCATTTACTGCTACAGACACAACCTGGATGCCCAGGTCCAGGAACAGTTCTATGTGGACTCCGTTCAGGAAGAGAACTACGGACTGCCGCTGTCCAGATTCAACTTTGACGACTGCAAGGCCCACGACGAGCCGCCACTCGGAGGCGGGTACGATCACACGGCCGCCCAGCGGCAGCTAATGCATGCGGCGGACATTTCGCCCTATCATGTGTCCACCGGCAGCAGCTACCGACGGCCGCCCAACGGGGAGTCCGATCATGGGTACAGCACCATGACTCCGCACGAGGACAGCTCCGACCAGCAGTGCTTCACCTTGGCCGAGCCTCTGCTCCTGAACGACAAGCGGCACAGCAAGTCGGACACCATGTCCATATCCACCTCTATATCGAGTCCAACCAATCGCCAGCAGTCTTCGACGCAGCCCAACACGCATCCCTACTTGAGCAATCAGCCCACCTCGAAGACGGAGCGATACAAGCATCAGCAGATGCAGGCCACGCCCTCCCCCTGTCGAGGGCCACCAGCCGGCGGCGTCTATGGCCAGACCACGCTGCCCCTGTGCGCCGTCGATGGCGATGAGACGCGACCCCACTACATTCTGGCACCCGTCACAGTGCATCGGCACATGGAGACAGCCGAGTCGTAGTCCACATAGAACTGTTAAGTTTTAGCGAGTAAGGTGTCCGCTTGTTTGCCAATTAATTTAAGTGACCCCACGGGCAGTTCAACTGCCGCCCAGTCCACAAAGTTGGACTGCCTCCAGCGACGTAGTGGATCTACTGGATCCACACGACGAGTGTATGTATATCTGTTGTTAAAAGCTCTCCTATTCAGGGGAGCAGCATAACACTAACACCAACCAATACCAATTTAGTGATGATGACGTTGTTTCTGCCATTTTAATACGTATTCGATTTATCGTATTTTAACATATGTAATTTATTGCAAAAAGTATTACTACTATACTATCTATATACTATATACTATATATATTAATATTATATGCAGCCTACTTCCAATATTTTTAGCATTTATTCGATAAGCACACCCACACCAATCGCAGAATTGTACTTACTGATACGGATACGGATACGATAAGATACACCCCGTATACCATTTATTTATAATAATAAATCCTATGTCCATAAAGTTACTAACTACCGATTTTAGTACTAATATTACTTATACAATACTATATTATGTACCTAGCATTGTACGTTTCAAATAAAATGTTTAAATTTTGCATAAAACAAAAGCTCTTAACCTTGATCCAGAGCGAGCCCCAAATCGATTCGATTCGAATTGAATTCAATCGATTGTACTGCCAATTTCTTGTCCTCCGATCAGCTGGCCGCGAGCGTTAATGAATGTATTTTTACACTTACCCGCATGTGTATACCAGTCTATAAGCAAACACAGACGCTGGCCAAGATCTTTCGTTTTATAAATAAAAAATGTCTAGTCGGGCGGGGGTTGTCAAGTGCCCTGAGGGTTACGCATATTTGGGAGGAACCCCCAACAGAATACCCTTCTACTGCTTGACCGTAATATTTTCATATTCATTGCTAAGCCTCTGTGTAACCGTTTCATAACCGTCATGAACCGATTCGTTTTGTGCGCCTCTGGCAACCCTGGCGCGGGGCAAGCTGCAAGCTCTCGCTTTTCTATTGCAACGGCTGCATTTGGTTTTCTGGTGTGGCGCGCGACGAACGTTGTTTTGGGTCCTCTAATTTCAGCCCAGCAACATAACTCTTACTCCATCTACACTTCAGGCCATTCTGCACTCCACATCACTTCCTACGATACCCAGCCCAGCACTTTGAAGTGAGTGTTTCCGATTCCCAGTGTACCCCATTGGTTTTCAAAAGTAGGCAAAGTGCTACGCTACGCTTCCCCACCGATTCGCAAAACGGAACAAATTATTACGCAATACATCCAAAGTGTTTGCAGCCGAAAGAAAACAATAGTTATGTAAAATAAAGGAATCGAATCCAAGAGAGAATGAATCTCAGTGCCTTTCCACTATGAAAGTTCTCAAAGCGAAACGGTTGAAGTATTGGAATTATCAAAAACGAAGTTGATCTTTCGTTCAGTTAACAAGTGATTATGGAATAAAGATCACTTTGTATGCTTCCTGTTCTGTGTATGAGGAACCCCTTTCGTTTGGTTACATCATGACCTTAACCTTAAAGCATCCATCCTAATGCCTCACTAATGCCTCCGTGTATCCATCTCTTTTTAGCAGCTTCTCTAGCCAACATGTTTAAATCTCTATTCGAGTCCGCGCAGAACTCAACGTTCAGGTCGCCGTTCACCAGCGTCAGCTGCCAGGCTGCCGCTCCTTCCTCCGACCTTGCACTCTCTAATGTGGCATCCCCATCAGTGTCAACCCTCGACGATGTCTCGCCCCGCAAGCATAGCCCCAACCACAATTTTGCCGCCGCCGCCGCAGCTCCTCAGGGTGGTAAGTGGACGACCGACGATGATCCAGGGCCAAGGATAACCATTATTGTCTCTGCCTTCGTATAGATTCCTGCGAGTTCGGCTCGAACAAATACTTCCTGCTGTGCGGGTTGGGAGGCATCATCTCCTGTGGCTCCACACACACCATGGTAGTGCCCCTGGATTTGGTCAAGTGCCGCCTGCAGGTGGATCCGGCCAAGTACAAGAGTGTGTTCAACGGTTTCCGTGTCAGTGTGGCCGAGGAGGGCGTGAGGGGTCTGGGCAAGGGCTGGGCACCCACCTTCATCGGCTACTCCATGCAGGGCCTGTGCAAGTTCGGCCTGTACGAGGTCTTCAAAGTCATTTACGGCGATGCCATTGGCGAGGAGAACGCCTTCCTGTATAGAACCGGCCTCTACCTGGCCTCCTCGGCCTCCGCCGAGTTCTTCGCCGACATTGCCCTGGCGCCAATGGAGGCGGCCAAGGTCAAGATTCAGACCACGCCCGGATTCGCCAAGACGCTGCGCGAGGCTCTGCCCAAGATGACTGCCCAGGAGGGCATTGGTGCCTTCTACAAGGGTCTGGTTCCACTCTGGATGCGACAGATTCCCTACACCATGATGAAGTTCGCCTGCTTCGAGCGCACCCTCGAGCTGCTGTACAAGTATGTGGTGCCCAAGCCACGTGCCGACTGCACCAAGGGCGAGCAACTGATAGTCACCTTCGCCGCTGGCTACATTGCCGGTGTCTTCTGCGCCATTGTCTCGCATCCCGCCGATACGGTGGTCTCCAAGCTGAACCAGGCCAAGGGCGCCTCCGCTCTGGATGTGGCCAAACAGCTGGGCTGGTCTGGTAAGTGCACTACATCCTGTTTTCGTGATGGGCCTTCCCTTACACTCTTCTTCTCCACCTGCAGGACTCTGGGGCGGATTGGTGCCTAGGATTGTGATGATCGGCACCCTGACTGCTGCACAGTGGTTCATCTACGATGCCGTGAAGGTTACTCTCCGCATGCCACGTCCTCCACCACCAGAAATGCCCGAATCCCTGAAGAAGAAGTTGGGCGTGACTGGCGAGCAGTAAACAAGAACCGTTTATGGATTGGTGCCTCTTGTTAAACGAATTGGTCCACATTTGTATAGATAAACCACGATTGAATAAAAACCACACTTTACACTATTTTTATTTTAATTGATTTAATCTAACGGAGTTTTCTGCCATCGCCACAGCACTAGGCAACCCTGTGCAATATTCAATTGCACAACACTGAACAGCTGTGCTGCATAACAGCCCTGTCCCGTCGAATGTCAACAAACAAAAACACGCGGTCAGCGGCATAATTTTGATTTCTATTTAATTTCAAATTAATTAACGATGGTATCCATCAAGACCAAAGCCGCAAAAGTAGCTAAGAAAATCAAGAAAGTTAGCAAGGGGAGCAAAGCTGACAAGGCGGAGAACTGGCAAAAGGTGAAAATCAAGGGCCACGTGATTTCCAACGACTTTGACGGCTACGAAGGATTGATTGGATTGGAGGTTCTTGAGGATTACGATGCAGAGCTGGTAAAGTCCTCAAAAAAGAGAGCATCTAAACGGAGTGACAAAAAAGACAAGGTGAAGAGTAAAAAAAAGAAAGTCTCCAAGTCTGAGGAGGAGGAGGTGGCCAGTGAGAGCTCCAGTGAGTCGGAAAGCGAGGACGAAGTGCTGTTCACGGCCAAGTCCACCAGGAAGGCGCGTCTGGCCGAACGTCATGCAACGAAACTAGAAAAACTCAAGGAGAAGCGACAGAAGCGAAAGGAATCGCGAAAGCAGAAAAAGGAAAATGTGGAGGAGGAAGCCGACTCGGAGTCGGACGACAACGAAAGCAATCCTTCAGGTCAATATGTACTGTTGAGACCTCCCCAATCGGACGAGGAGAATGAGGCAGCGGCAGCAGAGTCCTCGAGTGATGAAGAAGTGCCTCAGCTAGTGCCCGCCTCGACTGAATACGAGGACGAGCTGTCCGCTTGGAATGGCTTGGGAGTGCCGTCTAACGTTCTACGAGCTCTGGCTGAACAGGGCTTCAAGGCACCCACGCAAATTCAGTCGATGACTCTTCCAGCTGCCATCCACGGCAAAAAGGATATCCTGGGAGCTGCGGAAACGGGCAGCGGCAAGACTCTGGCCTTTGGCATTCCCATGCTGACTGGAATTATGGAGCTAAAGCAGAGGAATGTTAGTTCCGGCATTCGCAAGGCTCCCAAAGTAAAGGGCGCGCCTGTAGCGCCACCAGCCGATGATGAGCATGAGCTGACACCGCCGCCTGACGAACTGGATCACGTGTCTGGTGCCAGCGATGAGGAAAGTGACGCCGAGGAGCGTGCACAGAGCAAGCAAACTCCCCTGTATGGCCTAGTGTTGACACCCACTCGGGAGCTGGCCGTCCAGGTAAAGAATCACCTGGTGGCGGCAGCCAAATACACAGGAATCAAAGTTGCTGCTATCTTCGGCGGCCTGGCCGTGGCCAAGCAGGAGCGTGTGCTGCGTCAGTGTCCGGAAATCGTTGTGGCTACCCCCGGCCGCCTCTGGGAACTGTTTGCCCAGGGCAACCAGCATCTCAACAAGCTCGATGATTTGAGCTTCCTGGTTATCGACGAAACGGATCGTATGGTCGAGAAGGGCCATTTCGAGGAGCTTAGGAGTCTTCTCAAGGTGCTCAACGCAGACGAGCAAAAGAAGCAGCAACGCCAGAACTTTGTTTTCTCCGCCACGCTGACTTTGGTCCACGATCTGCCAGATCATATGCAGAGTAAGTCTTACAAATACCCTTCATCGATGTCCCAATACAAAATATTTATGTAATTTTATTCTCGTAGAGCGCAATGTGGGAAAGCGTCCCAAGTTTGTGAAGCAAACGGTGGATCAGAAGATCGAGAGCCTCATAGAGGAGCTGGGCATATCGCAGCCAAAGATTGTGGATATAACCAGCACCCAACGTGAGTAGACCCTCATTGAAAGCCCAAATGGTATCTGCGATAAACCCAAAATTATCTCTGACAGAAACCGCACAAACATTGACCGAAAGCCGTCTGCTGTGTCCCATCGATCAGAAGGACTTCTATCTCTATTACTTCATCCAGCGCCATCCGGGCCGCACCATCGTCTTCTGCAACTCCATAGACTGTGTGAGGCGTCTGGCCACGATCTTTGGTCTGCTGGATTGCAGTCCTCTTCCCCTCCATGCCAATATGATTCAGAAGCAGCGCCTGAAGAACCTCGAACGCTTTCGCGACTGCCCCACAGGTCTGCTAATCGCCACAGACGTAGCTGCGCGAGGCCTGGACATACCCAATGTGGAGCATGTGATTCACTATCAGGTGCCCCGCACCAGTGAGAACTACGTGCATCGCTCGGGCCGCACTGCTCGAGCGAATAAGCATGGAATAACCGTGATGTTCATGGAACCTGGCGAGGTCAGGAGCTACGTGAAGCTCTACAAAACCCTGGAGAGAAGTGAGTGAAATTTAGAGAACGCGAAACTGCTTTTTTACACAAAACTTATATTTACAGCCGAGGATCTGCCACTATTCCCCATCTCGGAGCGTTTTCTAGGCGGCGTGAGAGAGCGCGTGAACCTGGCGCGTGACCTGGACAAAGAGGAACTGAAACTTAAGCGGGTTCAGAGCGAGCGCGGCTGGATGAAGAAGCACGCCGAGGAAATGGACATGATCATTGATGGCTACAACGATGAGTCGTGAGTCTACGCGTAACCACATTCGAATCTTCTCTAATATGACAAAATTATGCAGTGGCAGCGACCAAGATGAGGATCCCTTTGTGATAGAGCGTCGACGCAATCGCCTCCACGTGGAAACAGTGCGGGCACAGCTTCATTCTCTCTTAGCCCAGCCCCTCTTCCCCAGAGGTTTCAGCTTTAAGTATCCCAACAGCCAGGACGCTGCAGATGTAACCACAAGTCACACCACAAGTGCCGTGGAGACCATGAAGGCGGCCATCGAGGACCAGAAGCTGGCCAAAAAGCAGCGAAACAAACGCAAACGGAATGCCTAAATCAACATTATTTTACTAAAGAGAGATGCACAAAGGATTATAAGAATAAAGTTCCGGATAAGTTGATCAATGCTTCGAGACGTAGTACCTGACGCCAGCCTCTGTCAGAGAGCGCGCGTTCTTGGCCAGCAGAGTGGAAACGGACAGAGTTGGTGTAGTGAAGCACCTGGAATAAACGCAGTCACTAGGCCAAGTGCTAATTTCGATATGCCCGCCAATACTTACTCAATGTAGGGCTCCATCTCCTCCAGGGTCCATTTGCGTTTCGTCTTGAACAGATCCCGCAGGCGATCGTTGAGATTGGTGGGAAGCCGCTCTTCGGCCAGCGAGCGAATGCAAGGTTGAGCCCCCTCCGAATCACAGATGCCCAGACCACGTAGATATGTCATCTCACAGGACATGCCCTCGGGCATGGCCTCCTGCCAGGAGCGCATAAACTCCTCGTTGCGGAAGCGCAACCCCGGCTGCAGAATGTTCTGGGCGACAATCCGGGCCACCAGGGATTCCTGGTAGGAGAACTGGCCGGGACAGCGCTCGCTGGGAATGGTGTAGATGTCAAAGAGCCCAGCCACCACTGGCTGTGGTGCGATGCCCTTCAAAGCGTTGATTGTTTCCTCCCTCTCCACTTCATCCAGGGCCCAGGAGTTTTCGCTGATCAAGCCTAGCATCAGGCTGATAATTCGATACTCGTACTCGCATTCCATTACGCGTATGTGGCCATCGAACTCCAAGGCGCGAAAGTTCCGGAGTCCCTCCTCAAACTGTGCCCTGCTGCACTGGACCGTGTCCAGCAGCTGCTGAAAGCTGAAGAGCACCTTCCTCTCAATGCAATACTCGTTCTCCGGACCCGAATACCGCGTTAGTTGCAGCAGCTCGCCGAGCTTGCGAAAGCGGGGCTTGATCTCGCGGCACTCAAAGTACTCGTGGAACACGGCCAGGACCGAGCGCTGCTCTAGAGTGCGGCACACCACCAGGTCATCCTCTGTGCTATCGTTGAGACTTCGCTCCAGAGAGGCGTTTGCATTGCTTGTGCGCGGGCTCTTGAGTGGGGAAGTGCTGGTGGCAGCGCCAAACTTTAGATCCGGCACGAGCAACAAGCTATTGGAGATCTCCGCTCCCTTAACATCGTACGTCCGCTCGTCCGTGCAGAGCACGATCTTCTCGTGCAGGCCTCCCTTGAAGTGCAGCGTCTGGCCCTCGCGAATGTGATGCAGCATGTGGGAATCGAGCTCCAGGAGACGCAGATTGTCGGCCACAATATGTGCCGAGGGGTAGTACAGTGCCTGAGTGAGTTGAGTGAGCTGCCGCTCGTCCAACTTTGCGTGTTTCACAATTGTCTTCACATCCTCCGGCGTGCGGACGTAGCTAGCAATGGAAGAGCATTTACCAAATGAATGCCAGCTAGATTAGTTCGCTACTTACAGCTGGGGTTCATCTTCATCTACTTCCATGGAATCCGCTTTTAATATGTTTGGATTGTCTGCTATAAGATACGAAGACAAATTTGTAACGACAGGTGGCCTAATTCAAGGGCCCTATACCACGACCCCACCACCACGGGATGGTTCCGTCCGAAAATTTCCCAGTTATTCCACCATCCATCTGGGATGTCCTAATCTCACGTTTGTTTTCAATAATGGACAAATGCAACCATATTTCACAACAAAAAATCGGAGATCACTACGAAAGTTGATATTTCTCGATTTTGATATTCCGTTTAATATTACTAGCTAGCTGGGACTCTCAGCCCTAAACAAATAATTTTTTCCAATTCCTCAATGAATTTTGTTTAGGATTGGTTAGTTTAGAAGTCCTTTTTATTGGATTATTTACATATAAACAAAACACATAAAACTTGTGTATCCTTTTGTGGCGCGGCGCGGTTGGGACTCTTGGCCCTCCAGCACTAAAATTTTTCCACCCAATGAATTTGTTTAGGATTGGCTAGTTTTCAGAACTATTTTTCATTGGTTTGTTTACATATTAAGGTTCAAACAAAAGCGGCCAAAGCATAAAACGTAAATGTTGACTAAATGTGACGTCAGTGTTGCTGGTCAACCAAGTTTCTTGTATGCGTATGTACCTTTTTATACCTTATTTCTTTTAATTGATGCTAATTTTGTTGTTCCAAGCTCCATTGAAACATTATTTATGATTTTATACTAGATTGACATTTTGGTACCTATTAATGCATATGTTTTGTTTTATATATATACATTTATCCCGGTTCTGATACCTATTATTGGTACCCGTGAGCTATAAAATTTCGTTAATGTCTTTACAAAAGAGACTGGCTAGTTTCTGCATTAATTGGAGCCTGAAATTACAAACAATATCACAAGTCCATAATATCAATTTTCCCAAGGTATGCAGATTGTTGCTCATTCCGTGCCAAAGTTGCACAACAATGCTGCTAATTCATTTCCCCATGTTGCTGCAATTTTTCCCATACAAATCAAATGTATCATACGGGAACGCGTATGGAATGATGTTTCTCACGCCACGAAAATGAGGGGAGTACCCAAAATGCTCTCTTCACCACAGAAAAGAGAGCAAATTTTAAAAACCCACCAAGAGCGAATTTTGAAAAACCACCACGATTTGGGAGCGAATAATATCGATATTTTTGTGCGCTTAATGAGATTGGCGGTCATTTTCAAATGTACAAATGTTTTGTCGAGTGGGACTGGAACCTCAGAAACCGAGAAAAAAATAGCTTAGCCCCGCTCTATTTAATCAGGTTAGTAACCAGTAAATATCAACAACAAAAAAATTAATAATTAATAATTATTTGAGCTCGATACTATCGATGGCTCAACTATCAATCGTTTGACAGCTCTAATCTCAACAAAAACAAACAAAAATTAAAATAAACCTCCCAGCCCTGGCGGGAAAATCAGTCGGACACGATCGATAAAAATATCGGCTACAGCACAGTCATAGCATCCAGCTTTGATAGTTTCATAGCAGTCAGCATAATTGTGGCACCGAGCGTAAAAACGTTAGAACTAAATTTAAATTGAGATCAAATTAGTACAAAAATCTATGACTAGGCAGTTAGTTTTCTACTACTTAAAATTATGTGTAATTGGATTGTATAGGGCCAATAATAAAAACGTCCCTTCGGCAATTGTCAGCGTAATTCCCATTGTTAATCATGTACTTCGATCCATTGAATGTCTGATGAGAGGCTAAATTACTGAGTAAACCCTGCTTGCCCACAAGCGAAACATTGACAGTGTAATTTCCCTCCGATAGCCCCAATTAAATTGAATAAACATTTGGCATAAGCCAGAAATTCTTAATTACAGTCGTAGGCCTATGAACCTGGAACAGGAGTGCGATTACGTCGAGTCGGTGGAGGAAGAAAGGGTAAAATGACACAATTATGGTCTAGGTCCGGTCCGGTCCGGTACGGTACGGTCCGTCCTGCCGCAAATTGAGTGGGGGCGTGGCAATTGTTGGGTAAACATTGGACGCTTTCGTGTGCTGCGGTCACGGTAACACATGTTCACATCTCATCGAGTGGCATGAAAATTTAATTTTTATTGTTGGCTGAACGATACAGATACAGTTTAGTGGCGTCCGTTGGGGCACACACACAGACGTTGGATGGATAGATACATTTGCTTGTATCTCATTATACGTCTCGGTAAAGCTTTAATTATTTTCATTTTGTTTTCTGTGCGCATTTCTGGTACATCATCGGCAATGCCAAATATTTGCAACAATTTGTCAGTAAATAATTTCGAATTGTTCTCCGTCTGCGGGGCAATCCAAAGAAATTTAAAAAACGCCAGAGAGTGCAGAAGCAGAGACAGACACAGACACAGATGTATCTTGTAGCTTGTATCTGTGCCTGTGTCTGCCTCTGAGGAACGCTGAGAACAGCAAATGGGAATGGTGATGAGGAATGGGGCTGGGGCTGATGCGGCTGGGGCAACATCCCTGGGTGTCAACAGCGCTCTGATTTATTTGAGCGCATTCAACGCTTGGTTGCATTTCGTTAATTTGCCCGTTTTCCGCTGCCAACGGAGAATCAGCCAACAAAAATGCTGAGTACCCCCCTCAGCCACCCTCCCCCATCATTCACCAACTTATTCCCGACAATCATAAAATAAAACAAAATTTCATTATAAGCAGAAAAACCGAAAAATTACCAACGAGCCGCATAATTATATTGTAATTTATGCAGCTGTCGAATCGGTCAAAATGTTTGCCAATGTTCAGCGCTCGTAAAATATTTCAAACAGCCGCACGTGAGTGCGCTCCAATCAACGGGAGGCTCGTTTGCTATGGCCAAAAATTTGGTCAATTACGATCAATTAAGCCATAAACATGCAAATTATTATTAACTATTGCCACCTGCTGCTTGGCCAGCCGCCGGCCGGCCGGCCTCCTTTGGGAGAGTGTGAAAAACGCTTGGCATATCAATGATGGTGGCTACTCTGGTCTACGGCGTGGAGTCACTGCGGATGCGGAACTGTCAGCAGGGGAGATATGGGGGGTCGGGTCGAAATCTATCTATGGATCTATGAGGGATTTTGTGTTTAAGCAGAATTTAAGTTTAGGCAATCCAACTGCTCCTTTGATTGCTTGGATTAATTTTTCCAGCGCGTACTCGCAACTTCTTAGTTTAAGTTAAACTATAACAAGTATTCCCTATTTATGAGAATTATGATGAATTAATTTTCAATTAAACAAGGAAATAAATGTACAAATGTACACTAGCAATCTGAATAGAATGCTTAACACAGTAGCTAACATTCTAGAAGCACTTCGTTATAGAACGCATGCGAGTAACCATGCTATGGTCAACCGATAATGATTCTATTCTTAATATATAATGCAGACAGAGTCTGGGTGGAATCGCAAATCATTTATGAAAGCCTCACGCAGGCATATGCGAACTTTAACCCCAGTAAAAGATGCTCCGATTAGCTTGAAGCTATGAGCGGAACCCACAAATGGAATACATACGAGTATGTACTTGCTCGGTAAATAAAGATAGTATTATGTACATAAACGATGAGCACTGGTGCCTTTCGTGAGTGTCTGCTAATGATGCACAACTGTCACACCCCCTTTGGAACTGATGTTTGAATTTAAATTGGTCACTAATATGCCTCGTGAGAGCCACAGCCCATTCTCCACTCCACTCCGCTCCCTCCCTCCCTCACCCCATCCGGCATTCGCCATTTCCCTCCACTCCACTTCAACCGCTCCGCTCCGCTCCTCTGCTCCCCAGCAGGAGGACTAACGCGACGGCGCATTAATAGCAGGGCGTTCTGTTCTGCCGTAGACATAGTCCGGCGATGTCTGATTACAGAGCGATTCGAGCAGAACGCAATTAGAGAAACGGGGGCGGGGCAGCAAGGGGGGGAAGAATCAGGCAGAGGGTTTACTTTACTGCTGCAGCTTCTCTCTCCGACTTCCATCAGTTGCTCATTTACATGCATAATAAATAATAAATAAATAAACTACAAAAGGTTAAAAAAATCTGCATTTCTCTCTCTTAAATACTCTCTGCTCTCTCGCTCTCGAAATTGTATTTTCTAGCCAATGAGAAGAAGGCAAACATTTTGAACCAATCAAAATCCACCAAACGCAAGGAAAGAGAAAGAGAACAAGGGAAAGAAAGGGACGACTATACACTCCATTTTAGCATTAATAAACACACACACGCTTGCGCACACACACACACACACACACACACACATGTATCTGTGTCGCTTTGTGGCCATTTTTGTGTGTGGTGTGTGGCACTTACTTGGCTTGGTGGTGCTTTCCTTTCTCTGCGGCGGCGACTGCGGCGACTCTTGGGTGCAGTACGTGATGTCTGGCTGCGACTCGACTCGACAGTTGCCCGCCGATCTCTGAACGGTTCACTGCGCTGACAGGCCTCGCCTCGCCTCGCCTTGGAGTTGAACATTTCTTGGGTGCATTCGAAGAGCGTTTAGTTTGTGAGTCTGAGTCTAGGAGTCCGTCGCGTCCGCGCGTGTGTAGAGTGTCCGCCTCTGCCTGTTTGTGTGCGTCTTTGAGGGGCGAACGACGATGGAACGGCCTGCCCTGCTGCAGAACGGAGAGCACGGCGCTGTGGGAAGCCTGGAGACGACGAAGACGACCACCAGGCTGGTGCCCAAGCCCTTCTCCATCGAAAGTCTGATTGCCAACCAAACACCTGCCACCGCTTCGGTATCATCCGTATCCGTATCCGCCTCGCCGCCGTCCCCGCCGGAGGAGCACGAGCCGGAGCATGAGCAGGAGCTGAATGCCCGGGCCATGGTCGCCAGCTCGGCCCTTGGCCTCACCCAGTTCCCGCTCTACAATCCCTGGCTTCATGGCTACTTTGCCCAGAACCACGAGAGATTAACGCATTTAATTGCCGGCGGCGGATGCTACCTGGGATCGCCCATTGGCAATCCCTTTGCCGGCAAGGAGCCATCGCATCCTCACCCACCACCTCCACCTCCACCACCACCACCACCGCCACCGCCACATGCCTTGGACAAGCAGTCGCCGCTGCCCCACCCGATGGACACACGCTTCCTGCCCTTCGCTGCCGCCGCCGCTGCTGCTCCAACGGATCTCAGCTATCGCCGCCTGGCGGAGCTCATGAACCAGGATTACGTCCACAATCTCAGTGTCAACGCTCGCCTGCAGCACATGGCCGTCGCGGGTCGCCTGCAGGAGGATCACCTAAGCCACAGCCTGCTGCATCAGCAGGAGCCGATGCCTCTGCCTCTGCAGGCCAATCCATTCTCGCCAGCAAAGTCCGCCAGCCACAGCCCGGTGGAGCCCACCCTGGATGTGGGCATGGACGAGGACTACGAGTGCAGCGGCGACTCCAGCAGCGACATCAGCCTCACCCTATCCCCGATGCCAAGGAACTACAACAGAGAACTGGACAAGAGTCGCAGTGGAGGTGCGTACCCAGGGATTCGATGGGAGTAGAACAAACGTTTCAGGAACTTTGCTGGAGGTCTTGCTTAGGGTTGCAGGGATTCGTACCACTTAGAGATCAGTTCGAGTAAAGGAAAGGAAAGTAAAGGACAGTTTCCGATCTGTTTGTTCGCGTAATCATGCCTAAAGATATGAAATTCCACTTGGGCAGATGTTTCAAGCATAGCGGATCAGGGACTTGGGATAACTCTTCAAATCTTAGACTAAAACAGTCGTGAATGCTTCTAGACTGTTTCTTATAGCTATGACTGGGGATGAGTTCGTCGCTAAAGATATTTAGCACTCTCGTAGTTCCTATAGGAATGATAGATCTGCTGATGGTATGTGAAACATTACAAAATCAAAGTCTGTTGAGAAAAAAGAGTAGTTCAGGTGAGGGAGAGAGCGAGAGAGTGAAAGGCTCTCCTCCACACCCAACTCCCATGTCAAATGAAGTCGCCCAGTCCCTGCTTATCCACCCTCAGTCGGAGGACAGTCCCTGGGCCAGTCCGTTGACTGCTGTCTAATGTGGTTTTGTCATGGTAATTAAAATTGAGGCTGCCAACTCATAACCAGAATTAGCATAAAGCGCATTAAGACCCAATGTTCGGTGTCAATCAAAGCTGTGAAAAGTTTTCACAACTCTTGCCCTGCGATTCGGTCAGCCTTCGCTGCACGGCAATAGAAGGCAGAGCAGCCGCAACAATAGAGTCCCACAGTCCTCCTGGATGGAGTGCTGACGTTTTGACAAACATAACGATTTGGCCATGCCACTCGAATGGAAGGAACATGCTCAGTTCCCAGCCAGCGCCGAGCATCGTCCTCACATTTATGAGCCGTATCCGTCGTCTGTCTAGCCCCAAAGTTTGGTGCGTTCTCCCTGCCACAATCAATTTTCCAACAAAGCGGTTGAAAAGCGCAACAAATTTTCCACTAATATATTCATAACTGTGTGTTCGAGTGGGGGTGGTTGAAAGGGGGATGGAGTCTGGAGTGGAGTTGGTTGGGTGGTGGTGGATGAGCAGGGTCCCCCCGTCAATTCGAGTCGGATAAATCAGTGACAGAGCGAGGGCAAAGCGAAGCGTGTAAGTGTTAAAAAACCGCTTAGCCGTGTACTCAAAATTAACAGCCAGATGGGGATGGGGAAGGGTATGGGGAAGGGAATGGCGATTGGGCTGTCACCCTCATTCGCATCTTCATCCTGCTCCAAGGAGACATTTAACTTTCACGCTCAACTTGGAAGCACCGCAAAACGACAGCTTAAGGCAAACAGATTACGGCTCGACTCCTGATGTCTTCTCTCTGTTCGGGGGGGGGGGGGGGCTTGGGGCCGGCCATCATTCAGACACATGTATCCAGTTATAAATAAATATGCTTGCCACAAGTTATGACACGGGCCATTTGCGGCAGAAGTCCACAAACTTGTTAGGGAGCCATTAAGAGGAAGAGAGATTCATGAGTTGGAAGAGGATACCCCCATCCGGGGGCGACTGGGCGGAGGATACTTTATTAAACATAATCGCTTGACTTCACCCTGAAATTCACACATTGCTGGTGGTAAATAAATGGCAAATATTTGGAAATAAAGAAGAGATTTTCGGGAGAAATAGTAGAAGCAGATTGTTCAGATCAGGGCTGATCGATACAAAGAACATATTGAAATAGATATAATAGATATTTGATTCATTTAACAATCTCTTACCTTTGAATCCCCCTCCAGCCTATACCAATTCGGATAGTGAAGACTGCAGCGATGACGAGGGTGCAAGTTCGCACCACGATGCCAGCGGGCTGGGCGGTAAGGACTCGCAAGGCAACGGCAGTGGCTCCGGCAGCTCCAAGTCGCGACGACGGCGTACCGCCTTCACGTCGGAGCAGCTGCTCGAACTGGAGCGGGAGTTCCACGCCAAGAAGTATCTCAGCCTCACGGAAAGGAGTCAAATAGCCACAAGTCTGAAACTGAGCGAAGTTCAGGTGAGTGAGAGAGCGAGCATCTGTGGCAAGAAGTATCCAATTAACGGGAGAACTGTATCCTCCGTTCGTTAGGTGAAAATCTGGTTTCAAAATCGTCGCGCCAAATGGAAACGGGTAAAGGCCGGACTCACATCGCACGGCCTGGGCAGGAATGGCAGTGCGAGCGGCACCAAGATAGTGGTGCCCATACCAGTGCACGTGAACCGCTTTGCGGTGCGCTCGCAGCACCAGCAGCTGGAAAAAATGTGCCTCAGCGGACCCAAGCCGGATCTGCGCAAGAAACTATCGACGGAAGTGATGAGCGGCTTCGAAAAGTTCAATGGCGGCGGCATGGGCATGGGCGTCGGCTCCGCCCCCAGCTCCAACCCAACTGCCCCGGGGGCCGGAAGTGGGGGGATGGGGCTGGCATTGGGCATTGGTGTGACGACGCCCCTATCCCTGGGCCGCAGTATCTACTGATCGGGTTCTGGGTTCTAGGATGTACATACACATAAGAAGAAAGGAAGGAAGGAAGGAAGGAAGGAAGAAGAAAGGATGTTCAGTTGTCATGAAGTTTTCTTTTTTGTAAATAAACAAAATATAAAAATCGAATCAAATTCCTTAGTGTCTGCTTTTGTCCTCAACGATCTGCCATTACGAGTATATCCAGCAAACCACATAAACGGACATAAATCCTGCAGGATGCCGGCCCACGGAACGCCCTGCCAGAGTCAGGCAGCACTCGGGGGGGGACTCGACTCGACTCGACTCGTTTCGATGTCAATTGGAACAATTAAACTGCCAATTTGTGCGATTTAACACGGCCCAAAGGACCGACACCAGCACCGACCCAGCAGAGGAGAGTTGAAGTTGAAGTTGAAGTTCGAGTTGACTCGATTTATCTGTGACTAATTTTTGTAATTTAACGCACCAAATTGTCACGAAACGAGAGCCTGGGAGAGCTGCTGCTGCTGCTGCTGCTGCTGATGGAGGGGAGAGCCAGAAGCAGAGCGGCGCGGTGCGGAGCAGAGCGATGGCAAACAATCACTCCAGGTGTCTCACGTGTCACGCCTCTTCAGCAGCAGCAGCAGCAGCCACCAGGATCCTGATTCCTGGTGTGCTTCCCCTATGACTTATTAGCTGTGCAGCAGGATCAGCCTCAGCCTAGCCTACCTTCCTCCACTGGCGTGAATTTCTAATTGCATTAGCAACTTATTGGCTGCTGCCTCCTTTTGCCTCGACAATTGACTTTTGTTTGTTGTAACCCACTGATCGCCCCACACTCCTCACTCCCCACTCCACTCCACCCCACTCACTCCACTCTCTAATTGTGGCAAAAGGCAAAAAGGAGGTGGAAACCCACCCCAGGACACACTACTTCGATGCCCTTGCATTTGCCTCTGCTGTCACCCCTGTGCGGATTGTCGTTGTCGTCTCGTTTTCAGCTTTATGTTGGGACACGCCTCCAAGCATGAGTTTTTATTATTGTAACACTTTGCAGGCAATTTGCTGCCGGCTGCGGGGCTTCTCTCCCCTGCCCCCTCTGCCCAGTGGATGGATGCTCTTTTGCCTCGACTCAAACTGATTCTGAATCCGAATTTCCGATGGGCACCGAAATTGCGGTAAATGAACAAAGTGAGAGAGCAGCAGGAACGAGCAGGGCTCGGCTAGGATGGTTCTGGGAACGCGCTACAGTGCCCAAAACTGGAACTGAGGGGCACAACAATATATGTAAGTATTATGGTTTACTTTAAATCTGCTCTAGCACCTTCTTGCACAACATATCGCTGCCCTACACTCTCATAAGTTTCACTGCGCCTCCTGGTGCAGCTCATTCCCAGTTCGTTGTGGCCGACGCTGCTGTTGCTGCTGTACAAATGGAACATGAAACATGGAACATGGGAAGATTCCCCCCCTGTGCCAGAATTGCTTTGTTGTAAATTATATTGCCATTAATTACGCGCGGATTTGTGTTGAGCTGAACAACCCATGCAGCTAAGCAGGCCATAATGTAGCACGTTAAAAATCACTTTAAAATCATTAAAAAAAAAACGGAAGGAACTCGGCTGGCAGGGTTGAGATTCAAATGCTGAGATCCTGCTGCGAGTCCAGTAGGCAAAAGGGGGTCATCGTTGAATGCAGGGACAACAGAACAGAACAGAACAGTATAGAGCAGCCATAAATCAAGGCATGAATGCGCGCTGTCATAATTTGTCATAAGGCCGGGGCACGCCCACTTTTAAGCATAGTTAGGCAACACATGTGGCAGAGCTGAGGGAGAACGTTGCCTGGTCTGTTGAAAGTTTGTTGCTAGCCCGGCCAAGAGGCAGAGACACAAACAGAGGCCTTCAAAGGCACCGAGGACTACTCATTAAAGTGCAGTTGTCAGCGGCCAGAGACATCAGAAATATCTCCATGAAATCGTATGCAAAGTGGACACGGACTGTGACTGCCCCTCATGGACAATCAGCGGCAATCAGCAATGTAAACGGCTTGTAAACCCAAAGGGGGGTGGCGGCCATTCATTGCTGGCATTGCCAGCCGATCTGTCAGTCCCGTCCCCCAAAAGACGAACGATCGGGCACCCAGAGGAGCCTGGCTCCGACTGTTGAAATTCTGCTGAAGACGACCGAACGAACACACACAAAAAAAAAAGAATCAAACGAAAATGCACTCACGCACCTGAATCCCTAATCAGCGGCCAGCGATGACGATCGATCCGTCAGCTCGGACAGGCGGCAGCTACCGGCGGTACTGCATAATGGAGTCTCAGGTGAAGTATATTGGGCTGCCATGTAATGAACGGCAGATAGATGAAGACCCTCAAAGATGCTTTCCAAAATCAGGCAGCATTACCAGAGTCTTCGTTTTAAGATACCCCGAAAGAGATGTGTGTATTTATATTTTATTACAGATTTTAAAGTATTTTCATTAATTGTATAATTTGTAGATAATGCAATAGAATTGTTCTACGGATCATCTTTCCAATCACATAGAGGGTAACTCAAAACTCCAAACTCCAAACACACTCCACTCTTGTTGGTTTTCTTTTGTTTCGGTTTTGTGAATTAATTAATTACATTTTTATGATTTTATTAATTTCCAAAAGCGAAACATAAAGAATGCAAGCGGCAGACCAAACCTCTCCCCAGTCCCTCATCAATGAAGCAGTGTCGCCGTCGCCGTTGCCGTTGCCGTCGCAGTCCGTCCCTGCCTCTGTCTCTGTCTCTCAACGAATGTCCGCCACTGACCGTCCGTCCGTATTCCAATTCCCATGGCTTATGGGCACGTACCTCGAGCTCGTAATAATAATGAATGTAAATTGCCGCAATGAACGATTTAATGTCTTAATTCTTTATTTATACTGCATTTTCATATATGTCGATGCAGGCACGCCTCCACGCCTCCACTCTCCCACTCGGCTACTGGAGGCGGGAGTTTCACAAACAATTTGAAAATAGTTATTACATTTGATGTGGCTGGCATTATTTCACCGCAAACGAACGAACAAAGTGCCGACCGCATGAATAATGCAATAATTAACCAACAAAAATAAATGAATTTCAATATAAATATGAAAATTTCTTAAAGACTTTTCACGGCTCGCACTTGGTCACGAAGGAAGCCGTTTGTCAAAATGTGTCCAACGATTCCGTGCCATCCAATTATATTTACATGCACCCTGCCCCTGCCGCTGCCCACCTCCTTTTGCACTAAACGATTCCAAGAAGAATATTAGAAACGGGTGTCCAAGTGTCTGGGGCCTGGGGTCCAGGGTTTAGGCAGCCGCCAAAGCGTCGGCACCTCAGAGGTCTGGAAAGGTTTCTTGTGGAAGTTTTTGGTGCAGAAGATTTGAATTTCCAAAGGAAACCAAAGGACAGTAAAATCATAATATAATTCTCTAAATAAACTCAGTTGCCCGACAGGATATGGTTATCCTGCCTGTAGATCTAGATATCTGGCCCGCCCACACTCACAAACAGAGTTAATCTTTTTGCATAATTTGGCATAACGATCCAGCATTAATCAGGGGACTGAGAGAGCTCTCCCAAACCACAATCACTTCCGCTCGGCGGTAGACCACACTGGGATCTGTAAAGAGGGATCGGATCGGAAAACCAAGACCCCTCCCCACACAGGGCACATAATAAACCAAATTGTGGCGTGTGCACGTATTTCGAGTCCGTTTTCGTATCGGATTCCCTGGGTGGCCCAACTAGAGATCATTTAGAATGAGTTACGAGGCCAGTGGAACGGTAGGGTCTACGTGTCCTCTGCAGGGGCACGTTTAAACAGTTTGAATATGCCTGCGCAAAGGACACGACACACGTGTGGAGGTGCAGATTGGAGATGGATATGGGTAGATAAGTGATAAGATTCGAGCTGCCGTTTAGATAATTGATATTCATGTCCAGAAAAATAGAGAGAGTCACAGTCACAGTGATAGGGGGACGGGACTTCCCGCAGAGCCACTTCATAGCAGAGCAATCCACTCGTAATGCCTCGAAATTGCGGCCACTGACTAAAAAAACGACGGACGCAATTTATGCCACAGCATCCGGACGGGATGGGATGGGATGGGATGCCACACCCACAGCTCCCCGGCCACATGTGATTTGGTGAGTTGGCAAAATAAAAGCAAAATAATAAAAACGAGAAGGAACGTGTGAGTCGCTTCTGGGGACGCGACCACTATACCCGTACTCAGTCAGCATATACATTTTTACATATATTATTAACTTAGAATTTACATTTTACATTTTTTTCTACATTGTTATACTACATATACTATTTATATTATACATCTAACATGTATATTCTACATGTACCATTTAGATTCTAATCTCCTCCGCTAGGGGTTGTCGCGCACGAAGGGCAGAGGGGGGAGAGGAATGAGTTGCTTGAGGTAGGGGGAGGGGAAGCAACTGAAAATTATTTCTCATTCTGGCTATAATTATGACCGACTGATCAGATTCGGCAGTCGGTAGATATGGTCATTTCTACGATACTGCATTTTATCGTATCTTTAAAACGTGCCTGCCACAGATTCGCTTTGGGGGGACGGGGGGGGGAAATTTGAATACTGAGAGGGTACACAGAGTGGCCAATTTGGTTCAGTAGCTTGACCAGGCGCTCACGAGACGGACAGACGGACAGACGGACAGACGGACAGACGACACACAGCCCCGGCCACATGGATTGGTCAGTTGGCAAAATAAAACAAAATACCTTACCTTTTTTGAGGCGGGGGTAAAAGAAGATGTTCGATGCACAAAAAGCAAATCATCATCATATGGACAGGACACTGGCACTGGCACTAGCTCTGGGGAGCTTTCTTCTTGGCAACGCCCACAGACACAGACATGGATACACACGCACACACACACACACACACACACACACGAGCATAGAGACCCGTATCAGTCTGTCTGTCTGTCTGGACTCGCTCTAGTTCCGCCCACCGACTTCCGGGCCCGCAAAGTGCCAACTTGCTGCGGAGAGTCTCCGTTTTTTGTGGCTATAATTTCAACGGGAGCCAGCGCTTAATGTGCCGCAATGCCACGGAGTGGGTGGCGCATGTCCATAATTACAAACCACCCACCGAGTGGGCACCAAAAAAGTGATGACGTAGTTTGTGTGTGTTGTGTGTTTGTGCCACAACTGAATTGTTTGGCAACGCCCAGCGCTCAGCGTGCGCTCAAATTTTGCGGTAATCATCGACGCGCCAGGGGAGGAGATGCTAAGTGCTGGCAGCAATCTGGGACAGCAACTGGACAGCAGCCAAAGCAATAAACATAAAAAACTAATTTAATCTAGCGTTTCGAATTGGTGTGTCGTAGCAGCAAGCTTTTGCTGGGATCCATTTCGATCGACTGGAACGAAAGCTATCGGAAGAAGGCGCGGAAATTGAATATTGGTTTTTGGAATTTAGTGTTTATTTATTAAAGTTTGCTAGTTTGCTCGTTTACTAGCCGCACGGTAAGCCTCCATTTTGCGCTTAAACAACTAGAAAAAGTAGCCTTGCACTTGGCCTAAAACTAAATTTGACTATGATTGCATGCAGAAATGGCCAATATCTCAAAAAGTTACAACTTATCACATGACAAAAGAGAACTCCACGTCCGACTCGACAGTCTACAGTCGCTGTACACAGCGCCTCACAAACTTGGCCTTGTGCAGGCACATGAAGCGCAACAGGAAGATGATCAGGAGCAGGCTGACGCCGTAGCCCACGACGAGAACGGCGCGCTTTCGGCGCCGCCACCTCTGGTAGTCGCGCCAGGATTCGTAGCGATTGCGGAACTGTGGCGGCAGCTCGAACTTACTGCGACGCGGGAAAAAGGATAGATAAAAGTCCTCGAGAAGATGGCGCACCAGATCGTTGTCCTCCGTCCGCCTGGCATCCAGGTTGTCGTTGATGCAGTTAAACTTGCGCGGATTGCGACGCATCTTGTCCAGTGAATCCACAACCTCCGTGAGATTCGAGGTGAGCATCATGAAGTTGCTGTGCAAGGACCGCTTGGGACTGATGTTGTAGCGGTACCTGGAGCGCATCCCAAAGTTTGACGTGAGGGCCTCGGACAGCAGGGGGCAGCGAACGACCAGCTCCCGCGTAATAGTTGGCTGTAAAAGAACCTTGGAACAGTTAGTGGCTTTCTTCGAGTCATTCCAGTCACCTACCAGATTGGAGTCCTCGTAGCGCTCGTAGACCAACGTGGAGTGCACCACTGTATCGGGAGTGACGAACAGGCCCAAGGCTCGGGTGCAGTTTTGAACAACCTCCTCAAAGTAGTGCATCGCCGACCAGTCCAATGGCGGGGCATACATCCGGGTGAGGAATGTACGCACCTCCCGGTCCGACCAGGTGCCGGAAGCATCCGTGTCGAACTCGTCAAAGATCTCCTCCACGCTCAGCAGCTGCGTCTCGCTCATGAGGAAGGAGTAGTAGGCGAAGGCGTACTGCAGGTCTGTGGCCGAGCGGAAGCGCTGGTGTGCCGTGGCCAGGACCTGCTGCGGGAAGCGCTGCTGCATGGCCGCCACAATGTCGCGATCGAGCAGGAAGCCCACATGCGCCAGCACATGGCGAGCCTTGAAGCCATAGGCTCTATTCAGCAGCATGTTGGTGACAATCAGCGAGTGCGAATAGATGTCAGTGGAGGACTTGAAGTCCTCCTTGTGAAGCGCGTTACGCTGGCTCGTTGGCATCACTGTGCTGCCGTCCTCCAGATCGGGGTTGAGCGACATTAACTTGTCCTTGTTGAAGCGCTCCACAATGCGTCGCAGCTCGAGCAACGTGGAGACGTTTCGGTGCCGCATGACATCCTTGAAGTTCGAGGAGCTCTGCTTGATTAGCTTCTGCAAGCCCATTTGGGGGAATTTGTGTATTGGGGGCGGAGCTGCTTCCTCCTCGTGCGTCTCCTGGCTGTGCATGATGACGTGGGAGCCCTCTGGCTGCTCCGTATCGCTGCAATCGCCGCCATCGAACTGGCACGCATCGATGTTGCAATGGCGGTCACAGGCCCCATCTCCTATGTACGTCCAGGGACAGTCCAAGGCGCAGTCGGGCACCATCCAGGCCTGATAGACGCGCACACCCTCCGCCTCCGTATACAGATCTTCCGGAAAGAGCGGCGCCCCCAGGAATATATCGTCGTTTAAGTACAGAAATCTCTTGGACAGCGTCGGAATACGATGCAGGAATGTCTCGATGGCCGCACTAGAGAACGTCGGCAGCTGCGTCGGATCGGGTGCCAGCGCCTCGTGGGGAACCACTGTGACGCGCTCGTAGCTGAGATCCAGCCAGTTTGGTATCTGGCCATTGGTCACAATATACACGTGCCGAATCCAGCTGGCGTGCTTCTCCAGCGAGCGCAGAGAGTACCGCAGCTCGTTCTTATCGTCGAACCGCGAGGGATCATAGTTCGGGTCAAACTGCCTGATGGCCTCGATGAAGCTGGGATCCGAGCCGTTCACCCACGTGTATACCACGTCGATGGGCGTGCAGGGGGTGCTGTTGTCGCTTATCTCGTTGTCCTCGGATGAAGACATCAGACTGCCAGCCAGCCAGAGCATCAGGCACAGCCCCCCAACCACTGGTAGGAGAGAAAAGCAAAATTATTCCAGACGCCAAGTGCCCAGAGGTTCTTACCCGTCAGCAGCTGCAGCTTGCGGCGCGACTGCATCCTCAGATGCTCGATGGCGCGCCGCATCTTACGATGCCACGAACGGCGGCGCAGACGCATCCTCAAAGGTTTATAGTGCACATTTCATTGATGATTTCATGGTAAATGTTTAAATAAAAACAACACAACACACAAAATTGTTTGTTGTTGTCTCCGATTAACCGATTCACGATAGCTGGCGGCTATCGGTCAGCTGGCTGTTATATATCGATCATCATGGTATATTAACTGTTGGGATGGATTTTACCATATGTTGTGTGATAGGTAAAAAACATGTAAATCGAAGAGAAATTCAATATTAAATTTATGTTTCAAAGCAGCTTAGAACAACAAATTTAACATCAATTAAAGGAAATAAGGTATACAAAAGTCCATACGCATAGAAGAAACTCGGTTGACCAGCAACCATGACGTCACATTTAGTCAACATTTACGTTTTATGCTTTGGCCGTTTTTGTTTGAACCCTATTATGTAAAGAATCCAATGAAAATGAGTTCTGAAAACTAGCCGATCTTGTTCGAAATTGATGGAGAAATTGAATAAAATTATTTGTTTAGGGCTGAGAGGGCCAACTAGCTAGTAATATTAAACTGAATATCAAAATCATGGAACACGATTTCAATCAATAAAATATAACATTATCCCATTGTTGGCCAGGGGGGTTTTAATATTTCCACGAAATTAATGTAACTTTAACATATTTTACGCCTTGCAGGAGAAATATGTCGGTGGTCATTTTTGTTTTGTAAGAAAAGAGGAGGATGGAGCTACCAGGATCCTTTACAAACAGTATTATTTCCCGTTGTTTAACAAAGGGTGCTTAACTTATTAAGTAAAGGGGTGTTAGGTGGGTTAAGTCAATTGTATGGTATTTAAATGGTATTTCTCGAAACTGAAATGGTATTTATTTTTTGGACGGATGGTATTTTTTATCGTTGTCGTCGTGTTTCCTCGTGTTTGACGAAATATTAAATAAAATTGTTTTGAAAGGTTTTACTTGGTGTGTCGCATGCCCAAACGAAAGCTAGACTACTGTCGGCATCTGGAAATATCCGAGTTCACAGCCCACACCACCCATCAAAGTACCGTTTTTGGGTCGCAAGTCGAAGACCTTGGCAACAAGTAAACTGCCTCCCTCTTACCGACAAAATGCACAACTTTAAGCAGAAAGGTACGAACAGGGGCAACAACCAACATCAACGCCGACCAAGAGCCAGCACCAACCATGCTGGTGACGCAGCTGCTGCTGCTGTTTCAGTGGTGAAGCCCGCAGAGCTTACTCCACTGGACACGGGCAACGACGACAACGCTTGTGTGGTGTGCTTCAAGAACTTTGATATATACTCCATTGGAGATTGCGACCATCCGGTGTGCTATGAGTGCTCGACGCGAATGCGGGTGCTGTGCCAGCAAAACGAGTGTCCGATTTGTCGCCACGTTCTGTCCAAGGTAATCCCGTTTTGCATCCACACTCACGTTTCCCAGCTGAAATGAAGCACTGTCCCATTGAAGGTTCTGTTTACACTGGAGAAGCTGCCGTATCGAGAGCTGGAGGCAAATAGCCGCTCGGATTTCTACAGCAAAAAGTATCGCATTGGCTTCTGCACGGCCGAAATACAGCAAAAGTTCTTTCAGCTTCTCGATCATCCTTGCCCAAAGTAAGTACCTTTGCCTGCTCGAGATGACTGCCCCTTCTTTGACTGCTTTCACTTATGTAGGTGCGAGGCGCCTCCATATCGGACGTTTGCAGGACTTCGCAATCATGTGCGGAGTGAGCACAACTTGCATTACTGCGATCTGTGCGTGGAGACGCTGAAGATATTCACCTTCGAGCGACGCTGCTACACCCAGAGCGAACTGAGCTTGCATAATAACAAGGGCGACCCAGACAATCGCTCCCATCGCGGGCATCCGCTGTGCGAGTACTGCAAGAAGCGATACGTGGACAGGGATGAGCTGTTCCGACATTTGCGACGGGAGCACTACTTTTGTCACTTTTGCGACGCCGATGGCTGCAACGAGTTCTACAATGACTACACCGATCTGGCGGACCATTTCCGGCAGGAACACTTTCTCTGCGAGGAAGGAAAGTGCGCTACGGAGCAGTTCGTCGGAGCTTTTCGCAATGAGATTGAGTACAAAGCCCATGTGGCCAATATGCACGGCAAGACGCTGAACAAGCAGCAAGCCAAGCAGACACGCACTCTACAGCTTGAGATTACACTTGGTCCGCGCGGACGCAGCGGACAGAATGAGCAGGGCATTGCCAATATGAGATCGAGGTAAGTGGGTCGCGCCATGCACAACATACAACACGAAGGCTGTATATCTAAATCTTTTTGGCACTTAGAAATGACGAAAACCACGACTATTTGGATGATTTCCCATCGTCGAGTTCGCAACGCGGCCAGGCTGTCAGCATCGATGCTGGCAACGAGGAACAGTTTCCAACGCTGCGCGGCGCTGGTGCAGGTCCCAGCGTATCGTTGGTGAGGCCGCCGCCGCCTTCAATGCGCAATCTCAGCGGCAGCTCTGGACTGGCGCGCACCAAAGAGAACTTTCCAGCTCTTGGCGGGGGCAACAGTAGTGCCGTAGCTGCTGGTAGTAGCAGTCTAGCGGCTCGAGCCGCTCAGTCCCAAAATCCGGTGGCAGCTGTCTTCAAGAAGTCGGGGAGTGCTGCATCTGGTGCCAATCGGGCTGTTCAACCCAACAACGGAATGCTTTTGCATGTATCAAATCGTCCAGCGGCGACCAAGAAGCCAGCGACAGCGACACCCCAGTTCGATTTCCCCGCTCTGCCGCCGGGCAAAGGAAAAAAGAACACGCAGATGCGCAACTTGGAAGAGGATATGCTGCCTAGCAACTCTAACGTGTCGATGACGAATGTCTCGGCCAAGCACCGCCTTCTGGTCGATGACTACGTGTCGGTGGCCAATCCGAGCACCTATCACAAGCTCCAAATGGTTCAAAAGGAGGAGTCCGAAGCCAAGGCACGTGCGGAGGCAATGAAAAAGAATGCTCCAAAGCTAACATCAGACGAGTTTCCCACCCTGGGCCCATGTGCCAGCACCAGCAGGGCGGCCGCCGCCCCAAAGTCAAGCAACGGATCGGCGGCTCTAAATTGGTCCAAACCGACGTCGGAGAAAAAACAGCGAGAGTTGGAGAACCGCAAGGCGAAGGTGGCGCCCCCACCAGTGCTGCCGACCACCAGGATCGTGCCGAAGGCCAGCAACAACAACCTAGAGCCACAGGCAAATAAAAAGGATAAGAAACCAAAGGATAAGAAGAGGAATCAGGAAAACCAACCAAAGGGGGGCGGTCAACCCAAGCAGAAGGAGAAGAACAATAACAGCGAACAAAAGCCACCCCCCAATGGGAATGCATCAACTCCGTCGCGTTCTCCGCCTGGACTCGCTAGTGCCGGACCGCTCAAGCCGCCGCCTGGATTTATTTCCAATGTTACAGTTAACTCGGTGGCCAAGTTACCCAACAACCTGACATTCACCAGTTCGCTGGGCGAGTCCTATGACATTGTACCTAGCTATTCTTATACCGATCCACCAGATACCGCAGCCAGGAATCAGGTAAACATCTTACACATGTACATAAATGACCATACCAATTTTACTTTGTATATTTAGAATTTGGTCGACAAATTCAGAGAGATACTTAAGACGCCAGAGGCATTGAACGAATTTACATCGTTGTCATTCAAGTTTCGGGTTGGCTCCTGCAATGGTCAGGCCTACTATGAGCACTGCCAGTGCGCCATGCTAGATGCATTTCACGGCCTATTCCCGGAACTTCTGGTGCTGCTGCCCGACATAAACAAGCAACAGGTGACCATCGACTTAAATTATGAAACCATCCATCAGGCATGTAATCCACCATCATCTTCTCGTTGTTTTCCAGGAGCTGTATCTGGTGTACAAGCAGAATCTGAGCAAAATATCACCCGCCCAGCGCAAATCCCTACCCAGCTTAGAAGTGTGCGCGGTCTGCAAGCAAGTCCTTTTGGCTGTTGACTTGAGTACCCATCAGAATGCGCATGAACTATCGCAGAACTTTCCCAAGCTAGGGAGCGCATCCCCGAATCCGCAACGTCATTAAGAGGACAACAAAAGCTTTATCCTGTATATTTTAGTGTATATATTTGAATGGACCATCCAATCCACACGCCCCTGGAGTACACCCCACGTTGTATATGAAAATCAAAATTTAAAGTTAATCGTTCTACTATGATTTGGAACTTAAATTTGAATGTTTATGTGACGTTGAAAACGTTTCATAAACCCACAGTCCAGGCAGCAATGCGTTTTTAAATTTTAACTAAACTAGTGAGCTTGTGTGTCAAAAATACCCGCAACCAAATTCAGTGCAAATCAATAAAGTTGTAATTGTAATCAGCCCACATAAATTAGCTTATAAGCGGTTTTAGGATCGTATCGGATCTAATAAAATGGTAGCGTATGGGAAGTTGAGTGGGCGATAGCTTATCATTTAATCAATATTTTCCATTTATATTCCATGTTCCATTTCAAATTTAGCGCTTAGCTACGCCACGTAGCACTGCCATATCTAGAAAAAAATATGGTCAGCAACAAATGGTGTGACCGTGGCGTTTTGGTTCTCTGTTAAACATAACATTACTGTCCGTTATGAGTTTGAAATCAATCCAGTGTGCAAGAAATAAGTCTGTGCTTATTGTAGTTGGCACAACTTGTCTTATGTAATGCCATACAAGAATGTGTAAATACAATGCCATATTGTTGAAATTTTATCAAACAAAAAAAAAAGAATAAAAACGCCAAGTCGAACAACTCTGATATTAATAAACAGAACAAAATAGGTCTGAAAAGACGCACCTGAAAAAAGTAGTTCAGCTTTACGTCAAATCCCCTCGATATGACGTGCACTAATATGAGCGAAGTTGTACAGCTGCAGTAATGTTAAGTTTAACACATATTAACCATATTAACCGGTCTGACCATATTTTTTCTTGATATGGCAGCGCTACGTGGCGCAGCTAAAAAGTTAGCAGCACTGGCGTCCGTTTCTGTTTGTGTGTGTGAGCATTGAGAGAGAGAGAGCAAAACAATTCAATCGTGTTCAATTGTGTTCAATATTGAAAATTAGTAACAGCAAAAGAGAGAGGAACTAAGAGAGAATTCGTGTTCACTCACTAATCACTCACAATCAATATCACTCACAATCACAACCAAACGACTCGACTGAGTTGAAAAGACTCTTCCTCGCCAAGATCTTACGAATATTGTTAAATTGTTAAATCTATGTTTTAAGAAACTTAATTAAACTGCTGCATGGCCCCCACCTTGTATGTGTGCTGTGCTATGATCGCGGTTTATTAAATCGCGCTGATTAAAAAAGTAATGTCAAAAATTTCGCCGTACGGAAAAAATTGTTCAACAAAATTATTTTTATTCATTTATATATGTGTGTGTGTGTGTAGAGATCACGTCTGTTTTGGAGTGCGATCGGGCGTGTGTGTGTGTGTTGTTTGTGTGAGTCTCTTGACAAATAAAAACACATTTTTTAATATTTAACTAATATCTTACACACACATATAACACGACATTGACATTGAAAGTGTGTGTTAAACGCCAAAAATTGTTAGCTGCGGTATAACCAAAAAAAAAAAAAATAAATAAATTTACGATGCGCGGGCTCAAGGAAGAAAGTGCCTTCTTGTGTGCGGGGTGAAAAGTGCATTATCAGTTATCATTATAACTGTTTAACAATTTCTTGTTTTTAAGATTCCTTTCCTTAATCGTGTCCGCGATCCGTATACATGCGCATAAATTAGAGTACATGAGCAGTCGTCGTTTGCCAGTGTTGGTGTTCTTGGCTTCTGCTTTACTCTGCCTCTTTGCGTCTGTTTTGTTGCTTTTGCAGCTTTTGTTGTGTTATTGTTGCTTTTTGCCGTCTCGCGATTAGAATTAATTGACAAATGGAAAAAAATGTCGGTTTGGTTCGCTATTTCGGTGCGAAAAGCAACAACAGAAACATTAACTAGTTTGCTCTCCCTCTCTCTCTCTCTCTGTCTCTCTGGAGTAAAAGTAACAGGATGCAAAAGAGAGACAAGGCAGAAAGAGAGATAGACGGGAAGACAAAAAAGTGGCAGAGCAGGCAACAGTAACATGAATAAATCATAACTAAAGCTGAGTAAAGCCGCTCTCTCTCCGATCGCCTGAGCATAAAATATAAGCAATAAAACGGAAAACATTAACATTAGCCGGCACAGAACCCCCCCAGAGGTTCAATGACCTCTCAGCAGCGCCGGAGCGGAGGCGTCTGTTCATAGAACAAACTAGAGGCCGAGTATTTCGAGCCTATTAACACCTGTCACACGTATGTAGCTTTATCGCAAGTTTGGTTATGTTATCAGTGAAGAATCTTACTCCCCTTCCACCGTTGCGCCTTGTACACGCGGATATCAAGGATGCTATCGATAGTCTCACAAGTGCTTACATTTAATTTCCCACTAGTGCAGGCTCTGTCCAGCCCGTTATACATATGTGTGTGAAAGTTCGTGTCTCCACGTAAACCCAACCAAGAAGCCAAAGCAAAAATAAGCATATACAAATGTCTCAATCGCCCCAACACAAGCGCCAGAAGATGTCCCATGGAAGAAAATTTGGCGAAGGGGACCCGTTTAACTACGAAGAGCTCAACATCATTGGAACAGGTATGTACGCAAAGCGGATTTCGTCTGCTGGAGACCGTTGGGATAGGTCGGGTTGGATACGATGCGAAGAAAGAATCCAGTTGATGGCTAGTTAATGCTGTTGTTGTTGGTGGCTACACTAGGCGAGTGTGTAGTGTAGGCTGATTCTAACTATTTCTCCCCATAAATATCGATTTTACGAGCTATGGATGATTCGTTGTGTGACTAATTTTTCGTGAAAAAACCGCAGCACAGGGGAAATACTTATACCTAGAGTCTGGAGTCTCGTAGTACTTCCCACATTGAGAATCATTGGGGTGAATCTCTCATTTCCTTGCATACTTTTCAGGTTCATTAACAGGGTCCACGTGGTTCCTGGTCCGTAAATCTGTACCGATCTCTTGAGTCCCAGTTCGATGCTCGGTCAAGGGGGCTGCCACACAAATTTTGGGGTACATTGGGAAATTTTTTCGGTATATTAACTTGAATCAATTACGTCACCGAGCCGCGAATTAAGCTGGTGAATGTTAATGATGGATATTGGTAATGGTTTTGTGGTCTGGAGGTGGGCAGCGTACGCCTTAAGCGGAGCGTAAAAGAAAACGGTTGCTCAGTCGGAACCCCCTGCACCTACGTGCTCCCCTCCCCTGGGCCTTAATATTGTAAGACTTTTAATATTTCCATTTCATCTGTTGTGTGTACGTCATACACATGTCTATACATTTGTACATGTACAAGCTTTTTCGCATTCATTCAATTATTGCTCCTCTTCTTCGCATTCGCTTTCGCTCTCCAACCTTTCGGCTTAGTTGTTGTTGTTGTTTTGATTTTGTGCAAAATGTTGCTTTTTTTCGACAAAATCAAGAAAGAAGCCGACGGCAGCCCCCCAAAAACGAGTCGAATAGTCGAAGTTGAATGCGAAGTCGAGAATGAACTGTTGTTTGGAGCTTGGCTTGGCCTTGGTGCTTGGCCCCAAGGTGCATTAGTATAGGGTGAAGCGTATGGGCGACTATTGTGGAGCGATCTCACCTTGAATTAAGACGCTTTGCGCTTGATTCCTTGAGCAGCAAGGTGGACGGCACACGCTCCTCTCCCCACCCCTCCCCTCTCTCGCTCTATCTATTTACTCTTTTTCTGGCTGTCTCTGCGGAATATCTGATATGTCTGATGCCATCAATGTCAACGAAAATAACTTGTGCCATGTCCCACGCATGCCTCTGTCTGGTCTGGGGTGATAAATTTCCGGTGACAAAATATGTATTTTCCTTCGCATTTGAATCGATATAGAACCTCTGTTTCTCTTTTCTGCTATCTCTGCTACCTGCTTTCGTCATCTTCCCTCAACCTCAACCTCGAGCGGCAATCGAAATGGGACGTGTTGGTGGTTTATCGCGAATCAGCCGGTTCTTTTTTCTACTTGCTTATCAACACAGCTGACTACTCTCTCTTTCTCTCTCCCCCTCCCATCCATGCGAAATTTGGTAATTTCACTTGTTCTTATCTGGCCTTGGCGTTGCCTTTGTTTTTGTTTTTACATTTGCTTTTGTTTGATTAACATTTAACATTTCCATTTGAATGTATGCACGCTGTTCTCAATTTGCGAATTTCACTCTTGCAGGCGCCTATGGGACTGTATACAGGGCCCGGGACACAATTACGGGCAACATTGTGGCCCTGAAGAAGGTCCGCATCGCCCTCAACGAGAACGGAGTGCCAATGTCCACGCTGCGGGAGATCTCCCTGCTGAAGCAGCTCAATGCCAGCGATCACGCCAACATTGTCAAGTGAGTATGGCGACCGTTATCACAGCCCATTGGCAATGAGGCCGACCGGCCGGGTGGCGCCCCAACTATTTGCCAACTAATTTTCGCAGGGGCGAGCCGGAGCAGCTGATTACAGCCAGAGACAATGTCAGAGCGGATTGTGTGGGTGGGTGGGTCGTGTCGTGTCGTTCACTGTTTATCTAGCCTCCATACTCGTCTCGCTTGCTGCATGCATGCAATGCAATGCTGTGGGTGGTGTAATGGGGAAAGGAATGGGGGCACACACAGAAAGACAGAGAGAGAAAGAGAGCCAAGCTGCTACAATGTTGTACGCCGACGCCCCCTCTCCCACTCTGTCTGCCTGTCTGTCACTGTCAAGCAGTGTGGCGCCGACTGTAACGGCTCGGTTCTCTTCTGTTGAGATAACGTATGCCGCAGCAGTGAGCAGAATACTCTCTCACACTCAACGGATATCGTACAAAATATATATAACATAGACGTGTACTATATGTATGTACAATATAATTCGCTCAGATACGGTAAAACGATCCAGAGAGGGAGAACACTCAAACAAGTTGTTTCTGTTGTTTGATATCGAACGTGTTGTTTAGCCGCAAAATCAGAAACAAATGCCAGACAAGACACAGATTGAGTAAACAATTTAAATTGAAGAATTTTAATTCATTTTACGTAAAATTTGTGAAAAACTCTTAAAATGCTTGCAAAATCCAGAAAATCTGGTAAAATCTAATGTGTACTATAAAAAATGTTAGCCCTCAAAACAAAGAGACGAAAACTGTTGTCTAACATTATGTTATATGTTAGTCTCTCTTAAACACCTACGGTGCTTAATCACTCAAAGTCTCTCTCATAATCACTCTCTTGATCGCACATGTGTCTGTGTGGAGTGAGATTTATTTTAGTCCGAGAATTGCCCGCAGTATGGCCACTGGCGCCACATGGCATTTTATTCGGTCTCAGGTCTGTAACGCAGATATCTAGCAAAATATTTTCTCGCTCTCTCACATACACATGTATAGAGCTCATTTCTGATTTCCCCTTTTCTTGCAGACTGTTCGAAGTATGCCAGTTTCTGGAGCGCGACGGGCAACTGATGATTCTCTTGGTCTTTGAGCACCTGGAGCAGGATTTGTCCGACCTCATCGAGCGTCTGCCCAAATCGGGCATGTCCCCCACCACAATCCAGGTGAGTGCGCATAGTAGCTTCACAATTCAAACTCTGGAACTAACCGATCCTATCTGGCAGCGTCTGTCGCGTGAGCTCCTAACCGGCGTGGACTTTCTGCACTCGCATCGCATCATCCACCGCGATCTGAAGCCGCAGAATCTGCTGGTCTCCGCGCAGGGCCGTCTGAAGATAGCCGATTTTGGCCTGGCAAAGACATACGACTCCGACATGAAGCTCACATCGGTGGTGGTTACGCTCTGGTACCGCTCTCCCGAGGTGCTGCTTGCCCAGCCCTACAACAGTTCCGTGGACCTCTGGAGTGCCGCCTGCATCATCTTTGAGATGTTCAACCGGAAGGCTCTGTTCCCGGGCACATCGGAGAAGAACCAGCTGGATCGGATATTCGAGTGAGTGAAGAATCGAAATATGTAGCTAGTTTATATATAAATCTCTCACCCTATAGGTTGACGGGACGACCCACAGATCAGCAGTGGCCCAAAACCATCTCTGTGACACGGGAACATTTCCCCCACCGCCTTCCCAAGCGGCCACGTGACTTTTGTCCCAACCTGTGCGAGTGCTCCGACGACCTGTTGAATGTACGTTTGTGTGTTGCTCTCTCCTTGTCGATGCACTGACTAATCTATGTCCTCTGCTTGTGTCCTTTATCCAGCAAATGCTCTCGTACGACATAACTATGCGCCCATCGGCCCTGGTTTGTCTAGAGCACGAGTACTTCACGCAGGAGCCGCTTTAAGGCAGGGCCGCCGATTGGTACGATGGACAGAGCTCCCAGACGTGGTCGGGTGGAGTTCGTACCCATTGGATGGCCGCAACCAGTGTTTTGTTCTTGTCATAATGTTCCTTTAAATGCAGTCCAGCATGTCGTTCATTTTCCAGTCTAGGTACAGCTCCTGCAGCAGAGCACCAGAATGAATAAAATACCTTAAAATGTTTGTAGTCGTAAGTTAAGTGTAAAATGTGCGCTGTAGATAGCCGCTAAATCCCTAAATGTGAAACGATTCTCGGGGAAGATCAGTCCCCAATCGAAATGTGATACAACAAGTTCAGGAATACATTATACAATTTCAAAATTTTGTACAGCAACAGAAATCTATATTTTTGTGTGTATATGCACAAATATGTTTGTACATATCTAAATATACAAACATACATACATATATGCATTGATACATAATTTGTTATAGATCGTAAGGAACATAAATAAAAGTACAGCCCCTCTATTCGGGCTGTTGAGTATATTATATCAAAGAAACTTTCTGAATTCAGAAACAAAATTCTACAATATTATTGCTAATAGACACCGATGAATATTTATTGGATTCACTTGGGAGTAATGAATGCAGTCACACGGAGATCAGAATCAGGCCAGTCCGACGAGTATATAGAAGACTAGGGGCAGCACCAGATTGTCCACCTGATCGGTGAAGGCCTCCACCAAAGCCGAGTTGATGGCCGCGAAAATGGTGGCGAACCACTTGGCCTGGGTCATGGCCAGCAGACCAGTCGCCTCCAGCAGCCAGACGGACAGTAGGATGGACACCACGAAGGCGATGGTGCCCTCCAGGGAGCGCGAGGAATCTGCAAGAGAAGGAAACGTTTCATCAGTCAGGATAAAGTTCAATGGGAATCTCCGGCCACTGTCACACCACCACTCACTTCCCCACATGTTGCGTCCCAGCTTGGAGCCCACCACACTGGCCGCGGTGTCGCCCACGCCCACCGCCAAGATGCCCGAGAGCAGGAGCAGAGTATCGTTTTTGGAGCAGGGGCAGGGAGTCAGCCAGAGGGGCATGGAGCATCCAATCAGCAGGCAGAACGGGGTCAGCGCCAGAGCACCAGCATCCTTTTCATCCCGGAACGAGTGGAAAGCTTCGGTCAGCCTGTCGGAAAATGGTGGAATCTGCAGCAGACGCACCAGCTCCAGGACCACAAAGGACGCCAAAGCTATGCCCGTGGCTAAGTACAGCAGAGCGCACTGGAAGAGCACTCCTGGAACGAAGACGAGCACGATCAGCAGGTGGAATATCTTACGGACTCGAGTGTTGGCCTGAACCGAGTGGCGCAGCTGCCAGGTGACGGTGGCGCCGGTGAGGAGAACGAGCACCAGGTAGAAGCCGATGATCTGGAGTCGCTTGGGGTCCCGGAAGATGAACTGGAGCAGAGCCACAATAGGCAGAGGACTGGTGACGGGGGCACAGGTGGCTGCCAATATAAGGAGGCCCATCAACAGGTAGAAGGGAATGGGCCCGCGCAGCCGTGGCACCACGATAACGAGCAGGCAGAGAATGAGCAGCCACATCAAAGCGTTCTGTGAAAGTTTTGGTTCTGATTAGAAGGGGATGATCAGATGATCGTTCGATCACCCACCAGCATTATAAGATTAAGTCGGTCAAAGTCTGTGAGGGTCTTGGCATCCGCGGAGCATAGGTCGTAGAGCCGGTAAACGACGCTCACCACGAACAGCATCAGACCTTGGAACAGAATGGAGGCCTCGCCGTAGGTGAAGCAGCGCGCGAATCCCCGCATCATGCAGACGTAGAAATGCTGGTAGCCAGCCATCATCAGGAAGCCCGCGACCACGGCAAACAGCCATGAGGTGCCCAGACAGAGGCCAAATCCGATGGTGGTGAATGTTCCCGGCAGCAGGCTGATGATGCACTTGGCCAGTATGCTCGTGTCTGCGAAGAAGTATACGAAGAAGCAGAGCGTCTCCACGCACATCCCAGTGGCTGTCACCGTCAACATCAGGTGGAGATGGACCTGCTCCTGGCAGGGCGGAGCGTTTAGAAAGCGCGACGCCAAGGCCAGCGGCATCAGGAAGCACATCCACCCGCCACTCGAGGCCCAAGGTCTGTTGGGGCGATTGGCGATAAGATATGATTAGGTAGCGTCATAATCACACTCGACTGGGGACTTTGCACCCGCGGCAGAGGCAGGCTTGACTCACCTGGGCAACATGACATTGTCTCGCTTGGCGTTGGGGTCGAGTGGGGTCCTGCTACTGTGGTGTCTATCCTGTTCGCAGTCGCTGGAGTTGCTCTCCGTTGTGGCGCCGGAGGAGAGATCCGAGTCGGAATGTTCGGTTTCGCTTATTGAGCGTCGCATTGTGGAATTATTTTTGTCTCGGTTTAAAACATGCCAACTTCTTGTGTGGTAAACTTTTTCCTGGACGCAAGGCCGTTTAACAAACATTTGCATCCCAGTACCACCCCCTCAGACTGTTAACATTGCCTTAACATTATGTTAACTCAGTTGTTTATTTTCTTTTTTAAATCAAGGGCACCCGTTTTTGTCCACAGGGTGCATGTGATTAAAAAAAAGAGTATATTTTCAAATGTGAGTTGCTGTGCTAGCTAGTAGAGCTGTCAAACGATTGATAGTTGAGCCATCGATAGATTTTGAATATTTGAAAAAAAACAATCGATACTATCGTGATAGTATCGGGCTCAAATAATTATTAATTTTTTTTTTTTTATATTTACTGGTTACTAAATAGAGCGGGGTTAAGCTATTTTCTTCTCGGTTTTTGAGGTTCCAGTCACACTCGACAAAACAAATCAAGTGAAATATATATATTTCTCCATATATAAATATACTTTTGAAAATGACCGCCAAATACTGACATTTTTCGGTCTCAATTCGTGGTGGTTTTTCAAAATTTGCTTTACGTTTTATGCTTTGGCCGTTTTAGTTTGAACCATATTATGTAAAGAATTAAATGAAAAGGAGTTCTGAAAACTGGCCAATCCAACTAGAGCCATCGATAGCTTTAAATGTTTTGAAAAAAACAATCGATCATGATATCAATCTATCAATCTATCATGACAGTATCGGGCTAAAAAAATTATTAATTATTAATTTTTTTTTTTTGTTATTTACTGGTTACTGGTTCTCGGTTTCTGAGGTCACTCGACAAAATAAATCAAGTTATTTTTCCAAATATCAAGACACATTTCAAATTGACCGCCAAACTCAATTTAGCGCACCACAAATACTGACATTTTTCGCTCAATTCTTTTCGTGAGTGCTCTCTTTTCAGTGGAGAAAAGAGTTCTTTCCTTGTTGAGACTTTCCCCTCATTTTCGTGGTGTGGCAGCATGCTCTGAAACTTTTCCCATCCAAAATCAAACCCTGTATCTTACGGGAACGCGTATGGAATAAAGATTCATTGTTTCGTCATTCCATACGCGTTCCCGTATGATACATTTGATTTGTATGGGAAAAATTGCAGCAACATGGGGAAATGAATTAGCAGCATTGTTGTGCAACTTTGGCACGGAATGAGCAACAATCTGCATACCTTGGGAAAATGGATATTATGGACTTGAGATATTGTTTGTAATTTCAGGCTAGGATAAAATCATAAATAATGTTTCAATGGAGCTTGGAACAAAACATTTAACACCAATTAAAAGAAATAAGGTATACAAAAGTACATACGCATAGAAGATACTTGGTTGACCAGCAACACTGACGTCACATTTAGTCAACATTACGTTTTATGCTTTGGCCGTTTTTGTTTGAACCTTAATATGTAAACAATCCAATGAAAAAGAGTTCTAAAAACTAACCAATCCTGAACAAAATGTATGTATCTATCGTATAAAATTATTTGTTTACGGCTGAGAGGGCCAACTATCTAGTAATATTAAACTGAATATCAAAATTGACGAATTTCATTTCACAAAATATCACGGTATGGCAGCCCGCAGCAACTACGAATTGCACGAGTCTGGCAGCGCCACAAAACGACGACAAATTCGTTTTATGCTGTTTTTGTTTGAACCTTAATATGTAAATAATCCAATAAACTTCTGAAAACTTGCCAATCTCTTAAAAAATGTATGTATCTATCGGATAAAATTATTTGTTTAGTGTTGAGAGGGCCAACTAGCTAGTAATATTCAACGGAATATCAAAATCGAGGAATATTGTCGTATTAGTAGGTATATTTACGGTATATTTTGAAAATGAAAAGGTGTATTTCGGTATATTTCAGAGGGTCAGACTGGGTATTTTTTTCTGCAAGTCCCTGGTCACACTGACGCAGCGAGAAGAAACAAAAAAAATTTCGAAGCCGCAGCGAAAAGACGCGTCGCGCGTCGAAATGTGAGTTGCTGTGCTAGCTAGTGTGTGTGTGTGTTGGTGCGCTGAAAGTGCAGCTGTCGCTTAAAACAAATAAAACCGCACAATTTCCATATAAAACGCCATTGCAAAACGCAGTTTGGCAGCAAAATAGTCGGTAGTCGGGACCCATGTCCCAGTGCGAGAAAACATCGAGAGCCAAGGCGAGCGAAGAGCAAGCGCGACAAGAAACAAGAAATGCATGTAGAATAATTTTAACGCCCAAAAGTCGCCGGCCTGTCGCCGACGCTGACGTCGACGCCGCTTGTTGAAACAAATGCAACGAAATACGTGCATTTCGGTGAAAATTGAGTTGAATTTGCACAAATGCAGTGCTGACAAAGTGAAACGAGAGAATAAAAAACAATATTCGTGTGTAAAATATGCGAAGAACTGCCTCGAAATATGGAGAGAGAGGCAGCAGCAGCAGTGGCACACAAAAGAAGGAAAGAGAGAAGAGGAGAGAAGGAATGATGGCCGCTTATACCTGCTCTGCTTCGAAAAGAAAAAAAATGAAACTGAAATTAGAGTAACCAGCCGGCTCTGTTGCCGCCTGCTCCTGCTGCACTCTTCGGAATGCAAACTGGTTAAAGGTTCATTTCGAGACACAGCCACGGCTACGTAACGCTATTTTTCCGCTAAATCGTCCGCCGTCCACCCCTGCACACTACCAGTATCCATCCCGCCCGTCCGTCCATCCGTCCGTGCGCCCGACATGGCTTAAGAAACTGTGTGGCCATATTTTTTCTTCTCTCGCGCTCTTCCCTTTTGAAACTCTTCGCTGTGCTTGTGTGCTGTTCTCGCCGCCTCCGTTTTGTGCCGCACTTCTAAGATAAAGAGCGCGCGTCTCTCGAGATAAATGCGAAAAATATTGTATCTCAATGGCCGCAGTGTTTCCGATGTGAAAATTAAACGAAAACGTATTCATTTTGTGTTTGTTTTGCCCAACAGAAAAGTGTGTATTAAAAAACCTCAATAGCCCCCGCAATACGACACGAAAATCCAAACGACGAAACCACAAGTTGAATTGAGTGAGAAATATATAGAGAGAGAGTGAAAACACCGCTACAATGTCGGAAGAAGTAGATCGCAACGATCCCGAGCTGAAAT